TCATAATCTAGAAATCTTTGCTACCATGTATCTTATAGTGGAAGGTAGAAAATGGTTGGCAAATTTAGATGATCCAGATCTTTTATCTTCTAACATTAACCACTGTAGGCTCTTAGACATAACTATGCCTATTCCTGGACTATAGAAGAATGATATGTACAAAACTCACCTTCAGATAGCATTTGCAAAATTTCATATTGTTTTTTTGTTTCCATCATAATGTAAGTTTCACAAATTTATTACTTGTGCATGTGTGTAATACTGTGTTTAAATGTTGTAGACGCTGACTGATGAACTAGCTCAGGCCAGAGATGAGGACAAGAAGACTCAGAACGACCTCCTCCACACAGAGAATATGCGACAAGGCCGAGACAAGTACAAGACACTGAGACAGATACGACAAGGGAACACCAAGCAGAGGATTGATGAATTTGAAGCTATGTAAATATAGTTTCAACGAAGACTCTGGGAAATGCAGATTTTAAATGTTGACATTTCTTCTTGAAAGGTCACTTGCAAAGTCATACCAGTAAATAAATGAATAAACTCCCACACTGTCAGGTGTCAGCTGAATTTAATAAAAGCAGCCACCAGGATTTAAGTATAACGAGGAGAACAGTCAGAGACATAGTACAATCTTATTAATATTGTGTCAAAAAATATTGTCAAAGGATGTTTCGTGGTCACTTTTTTCCTACACGTTAAGAGTTCTGCAGCTTTAATAGAAGGCTTTTTACTACCACAAGTATATCCAGATTTGTTTGGGTGTAGGGAAATGTTGTGCCATGTTTCTTGTTCTTAAACACCCACCATATTTGAAGTTTATAATGTTCTTACGTCTTAAGTCAGTCCTCATCTTTTGTTATTCCTATAAAAAAAGTCACAAAAGGACTCTAAAAAAGTTCACCTTGAATCGGAGAGGTTCCCGATGATCACTCAGAGGGAGTACATGACAGACACACTTGGATGTCTTTCTTATATCAGAAATAGAGGGAAATTGTCGATGTTCAATATTATTCAAGTGTTGAACTGCAGCTTAACCAGTCAGCTGTAGTATCATATTTATATATAATATATATGTGTTAAAAATATAAGTAACATATAATTCTAGTTTGAAAAGGGTTTTTTGCTTTGTATATTTTGTTATTATTTCTTGACTTGTTAAACAAATGATATTTTGGAAAAAAAATCTAAACTCTTGGGTGAGGCATGATCTAGAAAACATTTGTAAAGATGATTTTTTACTTGAAAGAAAATTGTAATGCATGCCTGTAATTCAGTATAAATAATTTCACTAATCCTATTTTTTCTAACAAATTTTCTAATTTTTAAAAAATGGTACCGTTTCAGACTCCAGCCATGAAGGGACTTTATCAGCTTTTTAAAATGTCTCTGTTGAAGAGAGTTGCTATAGATTTGCCTCACTATCCCCTTGTTAACCCCCATTTGACCACCACCTCCTAGCCTGCCCCCAGATCCCAATTTTAGGCTTCTGAAATCATCAGTGTCAGAGTACAGAATGTTGTTAGTCCTGCTCTACATACAATTTTCTATGCTGCTTTGTATTTTGAAGTTTATACCTCTGGAATCCTGATATAGTGTGGTGGGATTATTTGTTGAATGCAATCAACCCATAAATAAAAATCTGCAAGGCAACGTTTTCTTTCTTAAATTTCTCCAGTTCTTTTTTCTGAAAAACTATGAAGCAGCCCATTTGTTCAAGTGACAGAGAATATTAATAATAAAACAGAAAGGTAAAATAGTAACTATGGAAGAAATTATGACACTGAGGGTAAATTTGTAATTAAGTTCAATATATAAACTAATAACACAGAATAGCAAAACATTTGCCTTGGATGCAAGGTGGAAATTAAGTTAATAACTATAAGCTTTAACCCAGTGGTAAAGTTTCTAAATAGTGTGGCCCATGTTTAGCCTTAATCATAGTCTAGCAACTGAACCAGCTGATTACTGAACAGTACTGATAACAATAGAAATGGCAGCTCCCATCACCTCTACTGCCAAGATCAGATAGCCAGCAATCTGCATATAGTACATCCCAGGAAAGGTGGGTTGTGTTTTGTTTTGCTTTGCTTTCCTGATTTCTGCAAAGAACAAAGTGCAATAGCCTGATCAGAGCCACCACACTCAGGAATCTGAAAGGCTTATCGTTTGTTTCCCAGGAAAGATCCCCTTACTTGTGGGTGGTTGAAAAATCAAAGTGGAATGAAAGAACTGGTGGCTTCTGCATTCCTTGTCATTTTCTTGGAAGGCTAGTGATTGTTTAACTTTAAACTAGCTTGGGTTTGGAAAACATTAGACTGAGGTTGTGCTAAACCTGTAACAGGCCATAATTATATCTTATGAGTAAAGCATAAAGCATATCTTCTTAACCAGGGTAACTCATTGTTTAGATACTCCATTTAAGTCCAACATGATTTGTGTCCTGTAAATATATGTTTTGTTTCACCTAGTTCTAGATAGGTTTGCATTGTCTGTAGCCTTGTGAATATGAGGAATACATACAATTAAAAGAGGAAGGGGTGTTTCCCCATCCTTTTTTGAGCTTCCTTTGTTCAGCAGGACAGCTGCATTCATATATATTCAAAAGCCAGCATAGCATTCTGCACTCCTGCTTTATCAGGATCTTGAGATAATAGGTAGTATTTTGTAATTGCCAAATTACCCATATTATGTACTCATTCCATTTATTAAAGTGAAGTTGATTGTAATTTAGCTAAATGAGAAAGTAGCATACTGTAAAACTAAGTAGCATCCTTAGTAATCATTTTCATTTCCCAGATGACATTTGGTTCAACATAGATCCAAAAGGCATTTTTAGTAAAAATGATGGATGGCCACAGATTCCCAAATATCTTTGCAGAAAGTAGTGTTTAAAACATGTAACATTTCTTGTAAAAGGTCTTCCTGCAGTACTGTAGGATACCCTGGGTATATTTGGTATTAGTAAATTTTACCTTTATTTTTTCTTATCCTGAAATTACTTGTCCCATTATATTACTTGTCTAAATAATCTTATCACTTCATAAAAAAACTGAAGAATGCTGCTTTTCTATGTAAGGCAAATAGGCATGTGGAGAATGCAAGAGACAGATACAAACTATTTGTCAGTTGAGTGTATGTACTGTTCAAGGATTTGACTGAGCTGCAATATTATAAATAATATAGCATATAACTTTCTTATAAAACAGCAGTAGTCATGTTGGCCATTAGAAAAAAATAAAAATACATAACGTATCTTTGTTAGGGCCAATAGAAGTTTCATAAAATAATTACAAGTTTCAAAATTCATTTTTCTATAATTTTATTCAAAGTTTTAAAAAAAGATAAAAACTAATACTAATAGAAGGAATTGGAAAGAAAGCTACAAAGGGCAAGAAAAGAAAAAAAGTTTAAAAAAAACCAAAAATACAGAGAAATGGCTTCTGATCTTTATGGCAAATTATAAGTACAATTATAAATTTACCTTTTACTCTAAGTTACAAATGACTTTTCTTTCTACAACCTATCCTGTCTAATTATAAAACCATAAATCAAAAATCATTTATTGTTTTATGCAAAAAGTCCATAAAGGGGTCAGTAAATCAGTAAGAAACATTGTCTTTTCTCTGATCAGAAAATATACATTGATATATATTAATCTTTAAAATCCTCTGAAACAGTATATGTATTTTAATTCAAAACTTTCTAGCTTTTTACATGTCTACCAAGCATGATAAAATGTTCCTCCTTGTTCACATTTCCGACAGGTATTTGAAGTGCCTCATAATTACATCTTATGAGTAAAGCATAAAGCATATCTTGTTCTTAGTGCTATATTGGCCTCTTTCCAACTCTCTGACATCTTTCCTCCCTGTAAGAGTTAATCTGTGTAAAAGTTCATCCTCAAAACATGTATAATAAGAACGTGATAATCCATCTCACTCAGGCACTTTGCTTGGTTTAATCTTTTTTATAGTTTCAGAAACTTCCTATATTTTTATAGGTCTGTTATCTGCTTCTGTTTCTCTGTAATCCTTGGTAATTTTGGGTTTTTTTAGATACTCATCTATTTTCTTAAGAGAGATATCACTTCCTATAAACAAGTTGGAATAATATTGATAAAATACTTTTTGTATAATCATGCTTTCCATTAATACAGTATCTCTTTAGAGCAATTTGCTTTGAGTTTTAGATGGAATTAATTTACAATCAAAGAGAGATTTTTCTAAGTGGCAGGATAAGATGATTCCATTTGGTGAATCAACATTCTCTCTGAATTAAAAAGAAAAAGGGCTTAAAAGATTTAGAAATTTTGGCAAAAAAAAAAGCTTAACTAGGAGCGGATGTAAGATAGTTTAAAATGAATAAAGGAGATAGCTATTTTGAAAGATTATTTTTGGTAAAAGTGTTGAACAAATTAAAATAATAAAATGAACTGAACCTTCATAGGAATGTTTGTTGTTTATTATTAAAGAGTGTAAAAAATTGGTGAATTTTACAGAACAAAAGATAAAGGTAATATGAGCCAGACCTTGATGCTGACTATAACTACCAAGAGCCATTTGAGAGGAAAGTATTAAGGGCAAAGGAAGGTAAAACAAAAGAAAAGGGAAGATTTCCTTTTACTCTTTTCCTTGTAATTGGGACACTTTCACTTTTGGATTACAATATTTCAATGGCAACCATTAGAAAACTGCAGAGGGGAGAAGAGGATCTCTAGAGCAGTGGTTCTCAACCTGTGGGTCGGGACCCCATTTGGGGTCGAACGACCATTTCACGGGGGTCGCCAAACAACGCAGTCCGCCATTTTTTCCCCCTTTTCCTTAGCTGTGCTACTCCCTTTTATTCTATTGGCTTTTGAAAGCCAATAGAATAGACTCTCTTGAATAGAGTCTAATTCTATTGGCTTTCAAAAGCCAATAGGAATTGTCCAGGCTGTCTCTGCCCTGCTGAGCCCGCCAAAAGTCCCATTCTGCAAATGGTGCTGCACCAGTTGAGTAGTCCTCGACTTACAACTGGTTGAGTAGTCCTCGACTTACGACCAGTTTGGGGGTCACGGCATTAAAAAGGTTGAGAACCACTGCTCTAGAGCAATCTGCAGAGAGGGGAATTACATCAGATTTACTTTGGAAAATGTTTGAGAAATTAGGCTATAGGATAGTTTTTAATTATGTTATCTAATGCAAGCTGATGGCTATCATTATACTTTGAATGTGTTCAGACAAGATTTTAAAGCAGATGCAATGGCCGTCTACAAATATTTAAAATACTACCGCATATATGATAGGACATTTTTTTTCTTTGTTCCAGGGGCAGAATAGAAACCAATGGGTTCAAAGGTATGTGAAAGGGAACTTTGATTAAACATTTAAAGAATGAGGGAAGCAGAATGCACTGAAAACTTCAGATTTTTCTTCATTAGATATCTTAAGCTGAAGATTTATTTATTTAAATAGTTTATAAAGCCATACATTTCACAACAATGATGCTGGTCAACATACAAAGATAAAATATAATCCATTAAATTCTGGTTAAAATGACAACCCCAAAACAAAGTCCTATCATCAACAGTGCTCACCTAACCTGACCCAAATGCAGAGGTAATAGCAGGGATCTGCTGACCTGGGTAAATCTTTTTTTAAAAAAATAGCAGGAATAAACTTGGTACATGCTTTGGATGGGACACTGTGGAAGAGCCAGGAAATTCCATGGTCAGATGCTAGATCAAGAAGTCAAAAAATCCTGGAAGGTTATAACAAGACACATTTATACTGTTGGCAAACGTAACCTACTTGGATGTGTTTATGAAATTGCCAGGAGTCAAGTTCAGCTCAAAGGAGACTTTATCTAGCTGGCACAAGGAAAGGATTACATGATCTCTGAGGTGCATTCTAATTGCACTTTATGATTCTAGTGATGAAAACATTTAACGCCTACTTCACTGAAAAAAAAATGAACTGCTTACGGTACATTTATCCTTAAAATCTGAAGAAACAGGAAACATGCATAAATACAGTAAACATAAGTAAATCAAATGCAGTCATGTCACTTTGGCTTTCAATTGGTACCAGTTGAACGACTCAGCAGAATAGTTTTCAAAATCCCAGGACCCAAAATCTATCACCACTTCTCCGAGGAATACGGGATGTCTGAAAATTCCAGCGTGCCAGACAGATATCTGAAGCTGTCGGGTTTGCAGTTGGGAATATTCAATATTGTACTATAAAGATAAATGGCATTATTGACTGGTGCGAGATTAGCAAATGCAATTTATACAGATGCAGCCTCGTTATACAGCACTTTCACAGACTCCTGCAATAAATGACTACTATCTAAGCTAGCGTTAAGGATATTATGTCACAATTGATTGGAAGGTGGGCTAATAATCCTTTAATCCTCAGCCAAGTTATATCTTATGTCCTTCTTTCTTGAAGAGTGAGACTGCCCAATCCCAATCAAAGCTGATCCAGCATAATGCTTTCTACAAAAACCCCATGGGAGCTTTGCATGTCTGCCATTGGATCTACTTTTCAATCTATGTTAGATTTAGGTAGTTTAAATTAAACAGCTCCTTTAAGTTTGATAAATTACCTATCAATAATAGAAGATCAACTCATTACCCAAATTGTAATATACTTCTGAAACCATTCCGAATGTTGCAGATTCTATCATTTAGTAAACCAGCTTTTAGATAGTGTAGATGCTGGATTTTCACAAGATTTCTTCTTCAGCTCCAAAATGCTTTGGCACATTTACTTGTGTGTGACTCAGTAAAACCTTTCTTATGTTACTCAGTGGATCCAAAGCATGATAGCATCTTTTAAATTAACAAACATTCCTCTCTAAAAAAGAATAAAGTCCTGTCTGTATTTAAAAATCAATACCCAAGATTCTTGAAAGCCTATACTCAGAAATCCTATTAAATGCAACAAGTCACATTTCTAGCTAATGGGCCATTGAAGTTTATGCTTAGATATTTCTTCCTTAAGAATATTTCCATACCAGACAGTTTTCTCTACTATCAAGCCACAAAAATTAGTAAGATCAGCACACTGATGACAGTTATTTCCACTCTTCCCATTCAGAGTACCAATTTCCGGACATCAGCTACTATCATTCTATGCGAAATGCTGCGGGAATCCTAGATAATAGCAAACAGACCTCTTTATTGCCATCTTGCAGGCATCCAGTTTGGTCTATAGGTTAAAGCACTGGACTAGAAGCAGGGAAAGCTGAGTTCTATTCCTGCCTTAGATAGAGAAGCCAATTGTGTGATTTTAGGCCAGTCAGTTTCTCAGCCTAGTAAAAAGGCAATGGTGAATCACTTAAAAAGTTTGTGGACTTGTCATATAGTTACCAGAAATCAATAGACTGCAAAAATCCAAATATTCCTCTAGATAGTAGAAGAGGAACCTCCTCTTACTATCATGTGTTACAATTTTACTGCAGATCTAATAATCTGCAGATCTAATAATAATCCCAAATAGAGCCATATCTATTTTTAATCTATACAGTAGTTTTATAGGATTGTTTTGAGTTATCCCCTTTATTCTGATTGCAGCTGTTTTTATAAACTCATAAGAAAAACTTTAGCTTATAAATAAAAAAACTATATGTTATGCTCTTCCTTGACTCTTCACAATATGGCCAAGAATTGCTTCAAATACCTTTAATATTTCTTGGAATGTTGGATTCAGCGTGTTCTTTTTGACAGAAGTCTTCCGTTTACTCTGAGGAGATTTATCAGGCAGCAAGTAAGTCTTGACATATCTTTCAATCAAAGATAGAGACAGCGGTTAAGGCTTGTGAAAAAAAGGGAGGAGGAAAATAAAGTCACATGAGGGTGATTAATTAATGCCTCTGGAGATCAACAGCATGTTGTTTCTCTTTTAGTTTCATAAATGCTGTGCTGATTTTTTATTTATTTATTTATTTATTTATTGTACTTGAAGAGTAAGGAAGGACTTCATAGGTTGCTTTGTAAAATGTGGATGTTGGCCAAGTTTTTTAAAAGAGTAATTCAAGTCCCAGCCACTACTATATCAGGTATATTTTAAGAACATTTTATTATCCAACCCATCTCCACACAGACTTACACGTATACACACTTTGATATTTTAGGATTCAAGTCATTTATGTTGTATGAGATCCTTTTTCTTAAATGATTACGAATTGAATTCAGTATACTAGTGAATTGAAATTGCCAAGTAATGACTAGTACACATTGATCACTGTGACGGAATTCTTTATTATTATATCCTCTTTTTAAAACTGAATTAAGCTCAACAATGAAAATAGACTGTAAGGCTAAGCATGGTACACTCTAGTTTGATTATATTAAAACACAACATTACAATGAAAGTAGACTCAACTCTGAGACAAATTTTGGAAATCTGAAAAAAAAACTAATGAGATTACTTTATGTATGAAATCAGTTTCGTACATATACAGGCCTTGGGATTCAGATAGGAGGAATACAATGATTTTTATCTCCTGTATTTGGCTCCTGTTTTTAAATTTTGTTTTGTGTTGTAAGAAGCATTTTCTTTTTCTTCTCTTTTCTTTTGTAACAAGGCTGTTCTCTTATTCACTTTTAAATTCCATTTTGGTCTCTCTTAATTTTGACTTGATGACTCATAATTAATCAATCAGTCAGTCTAGAGTCTGTGTTCTTCATCTAATCAATCCATTAATTCTGAGAAACAAACGTAGTAGTTACATCATGAATTTGCAAAGGTATTAAATTCAATAAAACTGATAGCAGAGTTACCTTTATTTATTTTTTTATTGATAAAATTTATAGTATTTGCTGTCTATCTCGGCAACTTGTGTGGCTTTAGGTTTAGGCACCACAAACAAATATTAGATACCATGAAACTACCCTAGAGCTATCTGGATCTGAGCTTCTAGCTAGGTTTTATATGATATGATAGGCTAGGTCAGTGATGGTGAACTTTTTAGAGATCGAGTGCCCAAACTGCAACCCAAAACCAACTTATGTATCACTGGGTGCTGGGGGGTGTGGCCCATTGGTTGGGCGTGGCCAATTGGGTGGGCATGGCTGCATGGTAACGGCAGACTGGGTGGGAGTAAAAAGTTCAATCAATCAATTCAAACCTTGCGAGGTTTTTTTTTCCTGCGAGAAGTTGAAATTGATTGATTGATTGAACCTTTTTTTTTTTTTTTTTGCACACGGCAGCAGAGGCCTAAAGCAAAAAGGTTTTATAAAACCCAGCTGAAAGCCTAGGATTGGGGTGATGGCGCGCATGCCCACAGAGAGGGCTCTGCGTGCCACCTGTGGCACGCGTGCCATAGGTTCACCACCATGGGGCTAGGTGCTCAGGTTCCTTCCCTTAAATGTTATCATCTAGTAACATTTGACTCAGGAAGCACACCTTCTCTATTGTTGACCCTGGCCTGTGGAACACTCTTCCAGATTTCCCCAGAAATCTGGCAGACCTCTGCCCTTTTAGCTTTCTCGAAAGTCTTCTAGAGCTGGCTCCTCCTGCAAGCATTGGGGGACAATGAGGCTGGAGCCCAGCAAAGCAACATACTGATAGTGAAAGAAAGCTGTCTCGGGGTGCCAGGAAATTTTATCATGATTTGTTCATTTTTTTAAATGTTTAGTGTTTTGTCAAGTGCCCAGAACTGTGATTTGTAATATAAGTGTCTATATATCTCTTTTAAATATATATGTAGTATATTATACCTTATTATACTTTTGCTATTAGGTTTGTGTATATATCCTTCTGAATAGCGCTGACAAGTCCCTTAAGTTTTCTTAACAAGATTTCAGAAGCAATTTGTCCTTGCCTGCTTTCTGGGGCTGAGAGAGATTGGCCCAAAGTCACCCAAGCGGCTTTATCCCTAAGGCAGGACTACGGTCACGGCCATGGTCTCCTGGTTTCTAGCTTTATGGCTTAACTACTCCACCAAACTGGCTTTGCTACCATGAGTGAAGTATTGTTATAACTCCTGACTCACCCCAGTGAATGGTAAACCGGCCCTCTGATTTTACACAACACTTAACGTTTACTGTAGCTTACAATCCATGGGGGGAAAACAAGGGAGCATGATGTAGAATTAGCCTAGTCCAGTGATGGTGAATCTTTTAGAGACTGAATGCCCAAACTGCAACCCAAAACCCACTTATTTATTGCCGGGTGCCCGGTGGGTGTGGCCCACTGGATGAGCGTGGCTGTGATGGTCATGGCAGACTGGGTGTGTGTGGCCAAGGTGGGCATGATCACCTCAATGTTGCTCGTGGGGAGGGATGCCTGTGGAGGCCGGGCAGGGTTGGGGGAGATCCAGGGAGTTCTGGCAGGTGGAGCGGTGGGCAGGAGGCTCGTCCTGCGGGGTGAGGTGAGGCAAGGCGAGGCGAGGCAGGGCGGGGGTGCCATTATCACAGGGCAAGATGAGGCAGGGGCCAGGGTGGCTGCTGCCTGACACCATCAGCCCCTGCACACAGAGGCCAGCAAGCACATGGGTGCTGGGATGCATCCAGCCATGTGGGACTTCGGTGAGTTAGCGGGCGGCTGGTTGAAGAGGGACGGTTGCCATCTCTGGGCCATGGAACGTGCCCACAGAGAGGGCTCTGAGTGCCACTTCTGGCACGCATGCCATAGGTTTGCCACCACTGACCTAGTCAATGTTAAAACAAAGGTGGGAGGCAGCAAGCTTATGAGCGTGTTCTTTCTAAAGCAAGGAAAACAAAACACCTGTCAGTTGCAAAGGGCATCAAAGAAGTGACATATTTAGCCATTTTTTAAAACATTACTAACGTTGCTTCCTTATTGGCTCTTCTTCATGGTCATCTGAGATTTCGGCTATCCCTGAGTTTGCATAAATAGTTGCCAACGTAATTGGCATTGTTTCAGGAATTAAACTGAATTTTTATTTGTCTTAGTAACAAATGTCCTGAGTGATCCAGTCCTTGCAGGGGTTCTCAACCTGGGCAACTTTCAGACTTGTGGACTTCAACTCCCAGAATTCTGGGAGTTGAAGTCCACAAGTCTTAAAGTTGCCCAGGTTGAGAACCCCTGCGCTTACAGCTTTCCTGCAGGACAATTTAATAGCAGAGATTTTCACTCCCATCCAAAATCATCACACTCCTGAAAGTGTGGCTGGTGCCTGGAAGAGAAGATTTAACAGCCTTTCCAGTTGGTTGCATGAGTGACAGGTCTCCAGTACAGAGAGGCTCTGAATATTTCTAGGTTGGTCAATTAGTCTTCTGGAGAGATTAAGGGCAAACAGAAAAAAAAATTGCTCAAAAGCAGGGATAGCCATGGCAGAAAGAGTGAGAAACTGAGAAACCGTGAAAAACTGTTACCACTGCTTTTTGCAGATGAGAGGATCTGAAAATGTTTCTAGCCAACAAGCCCAAGTCCTGTAATAGTGTAAAAATTTGAATAAAAGCTAACTAGAAGAAATTAAAGCAAGCCTATTATTAATCTTATTGATGATTTTGGTTTTAGGTTAAAAAAAAAATCTATACCACCCATGTATCTGCAGATGTATGCCTAGATGTTCATTCCTAATGGCAATGATATCAAAATAATGAAATGGGCATTGCAGCATCACATACAAGCTCATAAGAGACAGAGTTTGCATCATGGTATACGTTTCATCACATGCATCTCCTCCTTCCCCTTGACGATGCATCTTCACAAATAATATTATTTTAGAATTAAAATACATCTTAGATTTTTTTTTAAAGTAACCAAAAGAAACTTACGGATTGCATTTCTTTTTTTCCTCCTTTCCATAAGCCAGATTCCTACAGGCACTGATGAATACTTCCAAAAAGCCAAATTTGAAATTGTATCTAATGGCAAATTCTATTTCACCACAGACATCAGTTTTTTCAAAGTCAACAGCCCCACTGCAAACGCTGGTAATGCTGTATAAACTATCCTGTATAAAATAGTGAATTAAGACAATACAAAAGGGTCTCAAGTACATAATCTGTCTGCTTTCTAGGTTTAATTTAGGACCCCAAAGTCTAGACCAGTGGTTCTCAACCTTTCTAATGCCGTGACCCCATAATACAGTTCCCCATGTTGTGGTGACCCCCAAGTGGGTGTGGCCACCAATAAGAGGGAGTAGGACAGCTAAGGAAAAGGGGGAAAAAATGGCGGACAGCATGGTTTGGTGACCCCCGTGAAATGGTCATTCGACCCCAAATGGGGTCCCGACCCACAGGTTGAGAACCACTGGTCTAGACTGACTGGATGGCATGAAGGGTTAGAACAAGATTTCTCAATTTTGGCATCTTCAAGATGTATGGATGTCGACACATAGAATTTCCCAGCCAGCATACAGGGAAGTTGATGATGATGATAATAATAATAATAATAATAATAATAATAATAATAATAATAATAATAATAATAGGAAGATCTGCAAAAAATATCATTTGCCTGTAAGCAAAAACTGGTGGGATCATAAAATAGAGAAAGTCATAGAAAATGATAAAATTAAACTGCTCTGGGACTTCAGAATTCAAACAGACAAGTACCTGCAACATAACACCCCAGACTTAACAATTGTCGATAAGAAAGACAAAAAAATCTGGATAGTGGACATGGCAGTGCCTGGAGATAGCAGAATAGAGGAGAAAGAACTGGAAAAGATAACAAAATACAAAGACCTACAAATAGAAATAGAAAGACTGTGGCAAAAGCAAGCAAGGGTAGTACCAATAGTCATAGGCACCTTGGGTGCAATCCCAAAACAACTGGAGCACCACTTGAACACCATTGGCGTTGACAAATTCGCTATTAGTCAATTGCAAAAGGCGGCCTTACTAGGAACTGCTTTCATCTTGCGACGATATCTGTAATACCATCAAACATCCACATCTGCCTATCCCAGGTCCTGGGTAAGGACTCGATAGGTAGACAAAATGCCAAATCCAGTCTGAACATCTGGCTGACTGTGCAATGATCAATAATAATAATAATAATAATAATAAAGTTGGAAGGGATCTTGGAGGTCATCGAGTCCAACCCCCTGCTCAGGCAGGAATCCTACACCATTTCAGACAAATGGCTGTCCAGTCTCTTCTTAAAAACTTCCAGTGTTGGAGCATTCACCGCTCTTATGATGGCTGGGGAATTCTGAGAGTTGAAGACCACACATCTTAAAGTAACCAAATTGTGATGGAATGTACACCTGCAGAAGCAGTTGGGGAGGTTTTTGACAACAGAGAGATTTCCCAGAAAGAGGCCCAGATTAAGAGACTGTGCCAATCCCAAGATGGAAGAGGTTAGGGGTAGCCACACCCTAGAATTGCTCAAGCTATACAGTCTCTAGTAGGTCAGAAAGACATGGTTGTCATTTGGCAAGATTCTATCAATTAGGTATAAGTAAATAAAGGAATGGACTCAATTGGATCTCACTGTTTCATCTCTGGGCTTTGGGCCTGACATCAAGGTTGAAAAACACTGGGTTAGAGGGGGATTTTTTTTGCATCTCTTTAATGTCATTTATTACTTGTCCAACCCAAATCAGAACTGTAATAACCTTGATATCCAAAGAAGATAAGATTTCCCACACAACTAATTTTAAGCGGTACTCTGTTCTGCTAATCAAACTAAAAGAAAGGCCCATTGTAAAGATAAAGAAATATTTAAGTTTATATCATTATTTCCGTCTCTGAAACAGATTATTTTCTGAAGTTGTACACGTTCTTGAGAATTATATGGTATTTCTTTGGGAAGATAGTTAATAAACTGCCTAGCATTAAAAATCTATACATTTTCCATGCGCAGTAATAGAAACATGAGAAATAGGATCACTACTTACACGTTTTTTATCTCCACAAATTAAGGTATTATTGGTAATAACGGAGGGTATGCCTTCTTCGCTTGATGCTTTTATGCAAGCAACTCTACTGTCATCTTGTTCTCCACTGATACTTGAACATTTCTTTGTTAATAAAAAAGGAGAGGTAGTAATATGTAAAATCCTACTAGTCTTTATAAAATCAAGACAAGGGGGCTTCTGAAATGCTGAATGATACAGTCAGTGATTAAACTTGAATGATTCAATAACATGAGCCAGTTGATAACTAAAACAATGCGGAGCAAAATGAACAGTTTAAAAAGGAACTCAGCTGGTTCCATTCACTGCCATACATGGCAGTGGATTGCAAGTGAATCCATGGACATCCATGGATTAATGGAGACAACTGTAGATCTGGGAGTTCCACGTTGATGTTTCCCCTTCCCATCTGTAATTGGGGAGGAAAGATAAATAAACTATGATTTCCCATGTATATACTAATGTGATTACAGCTATTATATATTGTAAACCTCCATACTTTGCATAATTTATTCAGTTCACAGACTTTTTTGTGTTTTCTCAACATTCCATTAATATATTACATAGTTAATATAATTAAATAGTATTGTACCCTAGTTGAAAAATCAATAGCCGTATCAGATAGACTTCTCCTGTCCTTCACTGGATCGGTTTGTGGCCCATAATTTCCTGTGAGAAGGTATTTCTCATTGGGCACATCATTCTGTGACTTTGAGATTTCTAGAGGGGAAAAAAGTCAGAGAATTTAAAAAATCAATTCAGTTTGTTCAAAATTATGTCTGAAATTTATAATTCTTATAATACTTGTAAGGCTGAGCTGTCAGCATTTGAAGTATAATATTCTTGTTTGCATTTTATGAAACTAAAACAGACCTATTAAAATATATCAGTTATATATTACTATAGCTTAGATTAGAGAACCAGTTTGGTGTAGTGGTTGAGGCATCAGGCTAGAAGCTGCAGACTAGGAATTCTAGTCCCACCTTAGCCACAAAGCTAGCTGGATGATCTTGGACCAGTCATCTTTCTAATCAATCGTAGATCAAAAGACAAAGCTCTAGTAACAAAAAAAAGTGGCTACATTTGGATAAACTTTTTTTTTGTCCACGGAAAAGTCTCTCATGGAATCACACTGAGTTCTTGCAGAAGCTTAGTGCTTTATAGAACACATATTGAAAAACCCTGTTTTAGAGATATCCTAGGGTTAATGGGATTTAATTTAGGGAGCAGGCACACAACAGAGAGTCTACAACAGTGTTTCTCAACCTTGACAATTTTAAGGCATGTGGACTTCAACTCCCAGAATTCCACAGCCAGCATTGCCACATGCCTTAAAATTGTCAAGGTTGAGAAACACTGGTCTACAACATGCATAAAATAAACACACACACACACACACACACAATCAGCTCCTGGTAGCAAGTACTGCCTAAAGTAGGCCTAAACTGAAAGTAACAATTTCAGTTAAGTATCTATCCCTACAGGATACAATTTTTATTCTATTATGTCCTCTCTTGACAGGAGTCTACTGTTATTACAATTATCCATAGCACAGCTTCAAAGGAGTAGTATGAATTCAAAAGAGTGACTCCTAGTTAGTTTATTGAAAATTTCTCTCAGGCAGTCGTGTATAGAACTGCAGTCTACATTGGCACAGAACGGAGAATGAGTTACAAACTGGAGAGACTGAGAGTAAGAATTTAGAAAACGCTTCATGATTTGCTTTTTATTTTCTTTTATGTAGCTCTATGTTTGACTTAATAGTAAACTTGTTGATAAATTGGGGGGAGGGGAAATCCCTGTTCCAATTATTTCTCAAATAAGCATTGGTGCAAATTATATGTGAATTTTTATTGCATAAGATGTCTCAAGAATATCATCCCCTCAGAGATAAGATTTGCCCCCACTTTGACACTCTTTCACAAGGCCCTGAAAACCTGACTTTGCCAATGGGCCTGGGTCCCCAAAGTGGGATGGGGCCATCAAATGATTAGTTTGATTTCTGTCGCCAGGATAGGAAGATGGGGTTATAGATCTTTGCTGTTGTTGTTTTTAGTGGGTTTGTATTGTGGTAAGCCACCCGGAGTCATTGACGGTGAGTTGGGTAGCCATATAATTTTTCAATGAATGAATGAATGAACGAATGTTGTAGCAGTGGAAAATCTAAAAAATGTATTGACCGCTTTGATTAATATTGTCACAAAGGGCAGAAAGTAGAAGTGACTGTAACTTGTATTAGCTTGGTAGGAGTGTGCAGAACTCTTTCAAATGACATAAGAATAATTCTTCATGATGGGCAGGTCTAACATATCATATTCTGCATGTATATTTTTGGAGTATGGTAAATAATTCAGTCCCACAAGCTGTAACTACAATCAGAAGGGGCACAACTAAGAAATCTCACTAATCTCACTAGAATCTATTAATACACGTTGTTAATGAATGATGAAACACTTTAATCCAGTGTCATGGCCACCTTGGATTCTACCTCAGAAGGGAAGTGTCAGATGAGAAGTTCTTATTTTCTTCAGGAATGGCATTGGGGGGATGAGAGGAAGGAAGGCTACTGTTCCTTGTACACTACAAATCTTGAAGTTCCAATCCAGATTCTAAGATTCAGTCAGCTGCACCTTTGATACTGGTTGTGAATCTCTTTCTTTAATTCCCCCAGTCAAAAGATAGGTAGTAAATTACAATAGTGTTCTTTTAGCTATCAGATGACTAGATCTATCCTTTTAATACAACATCTTATTTCAGAATACCATAGGTCCTTACTTTTGATATGTGAGGTAAAAGAAAGAAAGATGTTTTCCATAGACTTGTGGAAACCTGGATTAAGTTCCTGAAAGAGAAAGAGACAAGAAAAAATAAATAGAATGGAGCTAGCTTTTCAAGGTTTCCTGGAACATATAACCCCTTTGAATTTGTCAAGGAAACGCAAGTGCAAACTTGCAAACAGAGCTATAATTCCTGTGTCCAAGCATTTAGGAGATGATCTATAGTATTATTATTATTATTATATTTTATCCCACCTTTTAAATATTTTGGTCAACTCAAAACTACCTTAATATTTCTTGCTCCTATTTTTTGTACAATAACACTGTGTGGTGGGTTGGTCTGAGAGATAGCGACTGGGCCAAAATCACCCAGTCAGCTTTCGTGCCGAAAAACAAATGCTGTCTGGTCCTTTGGTATCTAAAAGATCACAGTGCTTACCATAGTAATCTTATAAATCAAACAATATCCCAATCTGAGTTGTAAAAAAAACTCGCCAAATAACCACTATATTTTTGTCACTTTGTTGCCATCTAGTGATCATCTGGATTTTTGCTCAGATCTGGTAAATGATTATTATTTTATATTTCATTTTTGGAAATATTTAAATAGGAAATATGATTTAATCTAAGAATTTTAATGCAGTAAATTCTATCACAGTACATACCATTGACTTTCTAGTTTTCTTTACTTCAATCACATTCTTACTTTACTTAAAAAATTAATCACTATTCTCTTCATTAAAAATTTTAAACCCATTTTAACTTAAATATTTAGTCACTTTCAAAATAAGGAACTTATTTTTATTTGGCATGCAAGGCTTAAAATGGGAATCAAAGCTCCCCAATTACAAAAAAAGAAGCAAAATTTACCCCACACAAATAATAAGTAATCAATCACTGTAACTAGTATGACTCAAAGTTAGCTCATGGGAATTTCAAATACTGCTCCCTGCCTTATATTCGGGGAAAAAACTGGTTGCAGAGTATGTACTGCTAATTAATCTTGGGAAACTGAAGAGAAGTAATGCAGACTAAATAACTTTGTCATCCTCATTTTAATTAAATTAAATTTGTCATGAAGATGGGACAGATGAATAAACTATGAATACTTCTATTATGCAATGGAAACGAGTGTACTGTAATATTTCTGAGTGTGGAAAAGGAAGTTCAGACTAAACAAAAAGCAATCAAAATTAATTCCTTTCCAAATTAAGGAAAAAATTGCTGTAGAAAATAACTGTAGCATGGTTATTGTTCAAGACAAGAAGAAGAGTAAATAAATGAAATGAAGGGCAAACTGAACATCAAATAGGAAGTGAACAATGAGTAGTTACAGAAAATACAGCTTATTCAGTGTTGTCTCGGTTGATAGGATTTCATGTGTACCCCAGGTGATAGTGGACCTCTATCTGCTACTGCAGCCTCCTTCTCAGAGACATTCACTTCCTCTACCTGATCATGATTAACATTGGAAAAGATGGATGGCAGAAAAATGAACAGCATGAAGAGAGGGAGCCCTCCTATCTATTGTTGTTCTTTAAATTTAGTCTCTTCCCTATCTCATACTTAATTGTTAATACATGGCTGATCATACAAATTAATAGCTATGCCTATTATGTTAGGCTGAAAAAAAAATTAATCATACATAGAGATCAGTTTCTGGAGACTACCAAATAAAAAGACGTATAAGATTAAAGAAAACATATTAAGCACAAAATCAATGATAGCTGAAAGCTTTTTGAGTAAGTAGGTGATTGGTCGAACTGAATGTAGAGTGATACATTACCAATATGTTTATTCTATTGGCAGATTCAGCAAAAGGTGGAGGAGTTGGAGGAATCACCGATACTTTGCTAAGAGTTTTAGGGGAAAAAAAACATAAACAAAATGTTTAATGAAGAGAAGGACGAGGGGGGACATGATAGCAGTGTTCCAATATCTCAGGGGTTGCCACAAAGAAGAGGGAGTCAAGCTATTCTCCAAAGCACCTGAGGGCAGGACAAGAAGCAACGGATGGAAACTAATCAAGGAGAGAAGCAACCTAGAACTAAGGAGAAACTTCCTGACAGTTAGAACAATTAACCAGTGGAACAACCTGCCTCCAGAAGCAGTGAACGCTCCAACACTGGAAGTCTTTAAGAAGAGACTGGACAGCCATTTGTCTGAAATGGTATAGGGTTTCCTGCCTGAGCAGGGGGTTGGACTAGATGACCTCCAAGGTACCTTCCAACAACATCATCATCATCATCATCATTCAGGAATTCAATCATTCCACCCAATATTTAGAATAAAATAATAATGGAAAGTTACCCACATAAAATACAATACAGCAAGTCCTCAACTTACAACAGTCCATTTAGAGACCATTCAAAGTTATAACATCACTAAAAAAAGTGACTTCTGACCAGCTTCTACACTTACAACTATTACAGCATCCCCATGGTCATGGACATGGCAACTGGTTCACATTTCTGATAGATGTGATCCACTTTTATGACCTTCTGACAAGCAAAGTTGGTGGGGAAGCCAGATTCACCTAACAGCCATGTTAATAACTTAACAACTGCAGTGATTCACTTAACAACTGTGGCAAGATAGGTTGTAAAATGGGATAAAACTCACTTAACCACTCTTTTGCTTAATAGTGGAAATTTGGGGTTCCATTGCAGTCATAAATCGAGGACTACCTGTACAAAATGCACTGCTTTCTCTTTATTTGCTTGTGTGGTATTTTGTACTATTAACATTAACAACTAACTTTAGAAACCAAATACCAAGCTATTAAATACATTAAAATCTCCATCTGAAACTTAAAGGATTGCAAAGGATCATGAAGACTTCTTAGGAAGAACTAAGAAAATGAAATAAAGGTAAAACTTAGGAGATAAATCTTCTCAGCCTACAGTAACTTCCCAGTTCAAACAAAGAGCAAGAACTACTTCTTGATGTAAGAAATAAGCTAAGATTGACTTAAGATTTATAGGAACATAGAACCTTACTTTGGAATAGGTTCATCTGTCCATCTACTCATGGGTAGATAAACATTTCTTCTCACAGTTTCCCCAATGGCATTAGCAAAGGAACCGATTATCATGGTGGTTTGAAATTAATATTATCAGTTTCTCAAAAATGCTGAAGTTTCTCCCAACTTGATCCTCTTAAAGTCAACACAAAGAATAGCACTCACAACACTTCCTTGTGGACATAACAGCATGTTAGTAACATCTGAGGGCATCCATATGACTTCGCTATTTGCGAAGTCACATTTGCCATTGAATGGAAATTGTTTGCTCAAGTGTCTAATCAGATGTCCAAATGATAACAAAAAAATATATACCCCAGCTTCTCAGTGTCTTCCTTCTATTCAGTGGTGGGATTCAAATGTGTAAACAACCGGTTCTCTGTGTGGATGCCACTTCCGGAAGTCCATTCTGGGCCTGGGCAACAAAAAATTAGCTACCGTTTCTGCCAAAGTGATGTGAACCAGCTGAATCTCACCACTGCTTCTACTGCCTGAAAGTTACTACTGCTTCTCACTCGCTTTGGCGATAGAACCACCCACTGCTTGCCTAAAATGTTGCCTACCCATGATGTGAATTTAGAGGTGGTCCTCGGCTTATGACCACCACTGAGCCCAGAATTCATGTTGTTAAGTGAGAAATTTGTTAAGTGAGTTTTCTCCAATTTACAACTTTTCTTGCCATATTTGTTAAGTGAATTACTGCAGTTGTTAAAATATTAACACAGCTGTTAAGTGAATCTGGCTTCCCCATTGACTTTGCTTGTCAGGAAGTTACAAAAGGTGATAGCATGACCCCAGGACAATGCAATTGTCATAAATATGAATCAGTTGTCAAGCATCTACCTGCATCTACCTGTACCTGAATACAACATAGCTTAATCATTCAGAGGTAAGACCCATCAGAAATGTTTAAAATTCTGCCTTTGGTAAAACTAGACTCGTGGTAAATCATGTATGTAGCCTGCAAAGAATATTTAAAGATTCTGTGGTTTTGGGGGGGGGTTGTCACTTTTGTCACTTAGATCAGCGTTTCTCAACGTTTGTATGACAGCGACCCCCGTCACACGAACGTGCCACGCACATGCGTGGTGGTGCCCCATGTGCGGCGCGCATGCGCGGCGGTGCCCCATGTGCGGTGCGCATGCGCGGCGGCGCCCCATGTGCGGCGTGCATACACGGTGGTGGCCCATGTGTGGCACGCATACGCGGCGGCGGCCCATGTGCGGCGGCCCATGTGCGGCGGCGGCCCATGCACGGTGCATGCATGCGCGGCGCGCCCCCGTGTGTGGCGCATGTGTGTGCGGCGGCGCCCCCAGGCATGGCGTGCATGCGTGGCGGTGCCCCCTGAGGGGGGAAAATGGTGGATTGCATTGTTTGGCGACCCCCGTAAAATGGTCGATCGACCTCAAATGGGGTCGCGACCCATAGGTTGAGAACCGCTGACTTAGATCATCTCTGTGATTAAAACATGGAATTAGGACATTTGTCACTGAGATCATGTTTGTGACTGAAACATTAGGACATGAAATGCCACGGAAATCTCATTTAAAACGTGCTTGTTTTATCTGTGTGAAATATGACATTGCATTTAAATTATAACATTTGCATTTCAATTCAAATTAAAATGATTCTTAAATAATAGTAGAAAAGGATATCAGGGTTGAAACTAAATATGTGATTGAAAGCCAACTCCCCAGTTTACCTTCAACATTCAAGAGGTAATACTATTTAAGATCTGTCAGTCGCATTTCTGTTGGCCTTGCTATTTATTTTTAAGCTTTAAGCTTTTTAACCTTTAACTTTTTCAATGAAACCAAAACAAAACTTTACAACTTAATCCCCGTTATCAACTTTGCAAGAACAGCCTACAGCAGGGGTAGGCAACCTTGGCTCTTTTATGACTCCAACTCCCAGAATTCCTGAGCCAGCTACCCCTGGCCTACAGTATCAAGGGCCACAGTGTTAAAGAGACGCCCCTTTATCCCTCCCCTACCCCCAATGTTGTTGGAGTTGTGGCCATAGCAAAAGCTATAATTACAGAGCCACACCGAAACACTTGTCTAGACTGCCACACTGAAATAAAAGGCAGTGTTTTAGTGGCTCGAAAGGTAACACAAGGAAAACTGAAACAATTTCCCCAGGTAAATATTTGGACATGGCTGCTATGGCTGATGTTGTACAAGTTCTATATGTAAAGAGAATCCATGGCAATGAAATGCATACTCCACCCACATTCACTAGAAGCTTCAACAGGCTTCCTGCACGGGATAATACGCACTTAGTACTACATCAAACGTCTGTAGGACACGTCAACCTCCTTGTCCTTACCTTAATTTCTGATAAGATTTCAAGAGTTTTGCTCCAGCAGTTTCATATCTACCTATCAAGAATGAAAAGAACTCAAGGTCACTGATAGCAATAAACTTGTACTTGCATGCCAATGTTTTTTTTAGTAGATGTAGCCATTTTTATCAACCATTTTTACTACTTGTTATTGCCAATATGAAAATGTTTGTGGTTTAAAATGTTCTCTTCCTGTTTCTATTCAACCCCCTGTATTGTAATGGATTATGGAGACCTCAATTATAGCAGAAAAAACATTAAAAAGAAGTAAACACCAATAAGGCAAGACGATGAAATGAAAAGAAGCAACTTTTGTTATGTAACACCATTTAAATGTTGGATAACTTTTCAGTACAAATAGTGCTAGAAAAAAATCTCACTGATTATAAAACTACGGATTGATAGTCAACTAAAACACAGTCAACCCATGTGATTCAATCAATGTTGCAAATGATAAATGGTGTGTAGCAATAAAAGCATTGATTATTAACAATTACATCTGGAATGTGTTCTTATATCTGTCCACAAAGAAAACCATTCTGCATCAGGTAAATCATTAAACAATATAGAAAATAATTCTTTGGCATAATCAGCTAAGCTGACAATAAAAATTATTTTCTCACACTGGTTAATCACGTGATCTTTCATAACATGTGTCCCAGTAAAACAGGGAAGTGTGTGTATATGCTAGTCTTCTGGCAGTAGCTATGCTACTGCAGATTTCCTTAATCTATATACAAAGAGAGCTTCTATATAAATCAACCTAACCTGTAATACCAGAACTAGGGTCATAAAAACTGGACATTTAAGAATGAATGGAGAAAAACTCAAGTTCTGTTGTTCCTAAGAAGAACAGCTACTGGAGGAAAAGATCTCACCAGAACTGAGAGCTTTAATCCGTTTGATCAGTAGTTAAATCAACAGAAATGGCTTTTCAAATTTACTTCACAAACTAAGCAGCCCAAAAATTCAGACCCTTAGCTTTAAATAATGAAATGATCCTATTCACACACCTACAAAGTTGAGAAAAGGATTTTTGTGACAGGAAGTAGAATTAACATTCCAAAGGCTAAATACAGGAGCTTTTTTAAATACTTAAATTAATTGTTAACCAAGCCAGACTGCAAATAAAGGATGAGATTGATGATGATTTCTCTTCTGAAAAAACGCTGCCTTGATAGTTTAGGGTCAATTCAAGTTTTATCCCAAAGCCTAAGAATTGTTCAAATATTACCATAATATATGTGTCTATACTTGTTTTTTGTAAATGAGGTCAAATACTTTCAATTTTGTCAGCTGTTTTTACAACTGCATTGTTATAATTCCTAATGTTCCAATAATTATGAGGAAAAATGTTGCCGGTTTAGTCCATTGTCTCTGTAATTCATTTATTCAGTCCAAATATTTTACAATCCTTTCCAGTTTCTTTTGAGCTAGTCTAGTGTCATTTAATACCGTCACATTTATAAGTAAACATTATAGAGCTTTTCTTCAACTATTGTAGTGGCCAGCATATGATTTCTGTTCATCTGAATTTGGAAATTTCATAAAATGGTCATTGTGAAGCATATTTTCATCATTATGTGCATCAAATCTATTCTCCTTCTATCATTACTATTATCATCATAGCTCTGATGAGTTACTGTACTTAAGAAGCAATAAAGAGTATTTTTATTTATAGTATTTATATAGTTTATTAAATTAAGAAGAGGTTCTAGCTCAGTGAAAGAGAAAATGGCCAATTAATATGAAAATGTTAGATTAAATGCCAGATAACCAATTGTGTGAAAAGTTGGAATAGTCAATAATTAATTTAATGAAGCAATAATTTGGCATTCATAAAATAATTTCATAATTTCCTTTTGAGCCTTGGAAGTGAAGCGGTTATTATCAGAAGTTTGGGGAATGGCGAAGAGTGATAGACCATTTTCAATAATTTGATTTTGGATTTGGGGATGTTCCCGACTAGGCCATGAATACTTAGAGCTAGCTATCTGTCCATTTGTTGAACAGGTCCTTTTATTAAAGCTTTTTCTTTTTACTTCTACTCTCACCAAATTTCCATGTTACTAGTGGGGATAGCATTAGTTGCTGGACTGAATTTATTTTCTTATATTTGTCATGATTAGTCAAGTTGCATATGTCAGTTGAAATGCAGCCTGGAAATCTCTTCTAAAAAGATCATTTATTTATGCCTATCAGATAGGTAACTTGTTTTTCAAATAATGTTCTTGCATTATGTGAGAAATACCATGCCAATGTCACAAAGCATTACAATAGATAAAAAGGCATTTGTACTGACATTTTAAAATTAATTTATGATTAAGCAGTAAATGAAAGTGTAGGTGATTAGTTTTCCATGAAAACATGAAACTGATCTATTATCCTATTTTCTGCAGTTCCTTATATTTAACATTGTGTCAAGTATATCAGAAGTTTATTGGCCTTGTACAGTAATAAATACTGTAAACTAAACCTAAGAGCTATTAACAGATAATAATTATTGCTATTATTAATAATTACTAGTCTGTTAAATTATTTTGGTTTCAAGAGAGATGTAACTAAGGTTTATCTCTTTATACATCTGCAGCCAAACATATTGAAATCATCTAATTTCAATGGGACATAAGCACAATCATGGGTAGAAGGTTACTTCTGGACCAGCTTTTACATTTATTTAGTTTCTGATTACTGTTCCATAATTTAGATATTTTTTTTATCAAGCGATACTATTTCCCATTCATTTTTCTTCATTTTTCAAGACTGAGAAATCAGTTTGTTAAAACGTGTCTACAAGACTATTTGAGTTTATTTGAATTCTAATTCTGGGTGATATTCAAGACTAAATGAGTTGAATTACATGCATTTTGGAACTGGATTAGTATGAGCTTTTAATAATTTAACATGTTTTTCTTAAACTTTACTGTAATAATGATTATATTACATTCAATTGCATTAAAACTGAATAATTTCTTTGGCATTATGATAAAGGGCCAAGAGAGGGCACTGTTTGAATTCATAAAATAATTTATGAATTCATTCATAAATTCAGTGATCAATAATTTGCACTGAAAACTGCTAGGAGTCCAATATTTTTCTAGAAAAACATGGAATTATATGAGTCACCTTGCACATTTAGACAGTTGTGAAAGTCAACATCTTTGTTCTGATGAAAGAACAAATCATTGTTCTTGATTACCAAATTTCTCTATTCAAAAATTCAGTTTTCTCCTTTTTAAGCCATCAGTATAGGAAACGTTATCTTGATTACCAAATTTCTCTATTCAAAAATTCAGTTTTCTCCTTTTTAAGCCATCAGTATAGGAAACGTTATCTTCCCCAAGTTGATTCCCTCTTTATTTTATAAAATTTGATATTACATAATTCCCAATCATCTGGCCAAGAAACAACCTGTATATCTTGAGGTGGAGAAAAGATTGATATAAAGTAATCTAGTTGAAAAACCAATGTTCTGGAAGACATTTTTTGACACATACATAACTGGACTTTCCTGGGAGTTTTCCCATTACACTCACACCCATCCAAAAGTCTAGCAAGACCTGCTGAAGAGAAGAAAGAAGCAATCTGAGGCATCCAAATATCATCCAGGTGGACAATGATATCAGGAGCGTGACATTATGTCAAAATGGGATAAGACAGTACCTTTACAAATAAAAATAATACTGACTTCTTTTAGGGGTTTTACTTTAATTATATAGCTAGATTATATAGCTCCTAGAAGCTTATAATTATACAGCTTCTAGAAGCACGAAGCCGAAAACACCAGCCTGAAGATGACAAATGGGACTTTGTCGAAACATCGTCAAGACACTTCCAATTTTACACGGGAGAAAACCTGAATAACCAAAGATCTACATACAAACACCCGCAAAAACCTCAGAATACATTATGTGGGTGGGGTGAGAGACTCACATTGCAGTCCCAAAGAAAAAGTAGGGCAGATCAGGAAGGGATTGGGGCATATGGGGGTATTAATAGAGACTTGAACACCCCCTCCCCCCCTATAGAATGAGGGATATGCGAAGTAATGGAGGAATTGCACACAAGGGAGGAGGGGGGATTCCGACCTCATCCAACCCTAGGGTTAATGGTGGAATGGTGCGCGATGGAGTGCAGGAAAGGAACGGGAAAGGAACACGCACTGACAAAAGGGGTGCATTTAGAACGCAATTTGATCAGCTGGGGTCAGTGACGTGCTCCAGGAGCCGGAAACAGGCGTTTAGCAATCATATATAGGTTTCCTCTTAGCGTTTGCCTTTTAACCCTGATGATGTTGAGAGTTATCGACGAAAGCTAGGTTGATTAAATTCTATTTTCTTATCCATTCTCTTGGTGATCGTTATTTTAGCAATATGGACATGCCCAAAAGTCGAATTTTTACTCATATTTCTAATCATATATATGTGTGTGTGTGTGTGTGTGTTCTGAGGTTTTCGCGGGTGTTTGTATGGAGGTCTTTGGTTATTAGGGTGTAAAATTGGAAGTGTCTTGGCAACGTTTCGACAAAGTCCCATTCGTCATCTTCAGGCTGGTATTTTCAGCTTCATGCTTCGAGGAGCAATGTGTGGTCTTAGCTGTTTCTTCCTTTTAACTGCCAGTGGGGGTATGAACTGATTGGATGGGAGCTTGGCTGTGTACCAATGTGTACCAATCAGAACACACCTCCACCCAATCAGAACACAGCCAAGCTCCCACCCAATCAATTATATATTTATAGGATATTATATATCCTATAAACACTGTTTAACATACAGTATGCATTTGCAATGTAATTAAAATTCACCTATAGATTATTTCCCTATTATTTTTTAAAAAAATAGTAATAGAACTAATTTGTTTTCATGATTTCCTCTTTTTCTTGTGCCACCTTTAAACTGCATTTCCTTTCTTCCCTTTTCTATCATTAAAAAAAAACATACACTAAAAACATATGCAACCGTTTCTCATCACCTTCTATGTCTCAACACTAGCAATACCTTGGGATAAATTCTGCTTTTTTGCAACTAGAACAGAACTCAATTTGACTTCTATTTTCCAGTATTTCTCCAAGAGAAATGCTCTGGAATTAATGGTGGTAGTGGGGGGGAAGCCAATTAAGCACTGATATTTGGTATAGGCAGCTTTGACGAGTGTGTATAGAAATTTCCACTTAAGAAAATTCTCACAATAGCTTTTTTTAAAAAAGGAAGGGTATGATTCCCTTGAAGAAAAACAACCCACATCCATATTTAAGCAGAACATGGGCCAACCACAATGGCACAAATATTGTGCAAGCCTTTACATTCTCCACAACTCTCAGACAAAAGCAAGCAAATTTAAAGTGTTTTAAAGCAACTTGAGTCAATAAAGTCTGCTGTTTAAAGTCATGTTCACACTTTTAGAATAGAGCTGGAAGGGACCTTGGAGGTCTTCTAGTCCAGCCCCCTGCTCAAGCAGGAGAACCTATACCGTCTTAGACAAGTGACTGTCTAGCTAGCCTCTTCTTAAAAATTTCAAAACTCAAAAATTTCATTTCTGAAAACACAAACGACATGTATCCCCTATCTGTCTCCTGTCACAGGCAAAGCACATAAGCATCTAGCCTCACAAAGAGCAAAATTAAAGATGACTTAGAAAACAACGCAGAGGAAAGGCAGAGAGTAAACTTATGTGATATGCTAAATTTAAAAAATATATCAATTCATTGTAATATTACTGTAGGAGATGACCAGTGTGAGCCTGAGGTCAAGGTCAAACACATTATCAGTTTGGAGTCTCTAAGTCGGGCCCCTCTTGAAGTCCATTAACTCTTACCTGGCATCAATTTGCCTTGACCATTGGTAGATCAGATTCTTGTGCATAAGTAGCATGAACTAAACTTGTAGTACATTTGAACTCTATTTTGGTTCCTGATTTCTTTCATCTGACACTATTTAGGGACTGGAGGGATTTGAATTCTCAGCATGTTAAAAAAAAAAAAAAAAAAGATCCCTTTGTATGAATGTTGTGTTTTTCCACCCATGAACCAACAAGGCTATCATTATGAATGAAAGCAAATATACACGTCCCAGGATAATGTTGCAGGATCCAGTCTGGGTCAGCCACTGGGACCAGAGGTTTAGTCTTCCAAGCTTTCAGATTTGTGCTGGAACCCATCATCAGGGAACTACTCTCTGCCAGAATATGTGCCTTGGGTTATTCTATCTATCGTATTTATGTAGTGCCTGGTTGTGTGTGGTTTTTTAGTTGTTGATTGGGGTGTTGATGACTGGTTATTAATTACAACTTCAACAACTAAAAAGCCACACACAACCAGGCTCCACATAAATACTATGCATAGAATAGCCCAAAACACACATTCTGGAGAGAGAGAATTTTCCAACACAAATCCAAAAGCTCGGAAGACTAAACTTCTGGTCCTGGTAACCAGCCCAGACTGGATCCTGCAAGATTATCATTGTTCTGTGTTTTGGAAAATATTGTGCCCTACTGCCCAGGTAGAATTTGCCACCAGAGAAAAGTGCACCCTGGTAAGGAAATCCTTCAGCAAATGTCTTGCACTCAATGAAAGCAGTGTGGGAATAACTCTCCAAGAATATACTTTCTATGAAGGAGGCCATGTGGCTAATGAGAGGCAATCATAACTTCCTTGGCACAACACTTGGTCACCTTTTGCTTCTTCTATTGCAGAAAGTCAATGGGAAATTGATCTCCTGGTCAGCAGCAAATAAACAAGTTCCTTAATTTTAATGATACCTCACTTATTTTTTTATTTCTGCCCCACCATTTTTCTGAGAGGTACAGGTGGCATATATTCTACCCTCACAGCAGCAACTCATGGGCTACATTGGCCTGCAAGGGAAATCTGGCCAGGGAGATCTGTGGCTGAATAGGTCAGGGAATCTAATCTGGGTCTCTCCAATCTGGTGACAGCATCTTCACCAGTGGACAATGCTGGTTTTCTTGGGTTTATCTTTTACATAAGCAGTGAATACTTCCATATTTCCATCAGTCACGGTTGTTATTAGCTATGACAAATGCATATATTTATAGCTAAGGCAGGGTGAATTTTAAAAATTCAATACAATTACTACTATTATAGCTCAATAAAATTGCACTCTGAAATTTCCAAACTCATAGATTTACTTTCTAGAAGACTGTTTTTGCTAAGATAAAACATGAATTAGAAAGAGAAACTTATCAAAGTAATCAATTTATCTTGCATGACTCAATGCTTCTGTTTTTTATTTGGTACCTTCAGTGGGGAATTTCTTTGCTCGCTCCTCAAAGAACCATTCACCTGTTTTCACTTTAATAGCCCTGCAAAAAACAAAATAAGTATTTATTTGAATTTTATACATGCCTTTTTCAAGGAGGATTTTTGGAGACATAAATGGGCTAATTATTTTTTTAAAAGATCAAACCAAATCAGTTCCATCATGGTAATCAAGAGCAGTGGAACATCAGCTCTTGCATAATCAGTTATGTATTCTGTGATTTTGCGCAAGCATATAAAACCCCCTTCTTTTCAAATCCTACGCTAATTCATATCCAGAGTCCCTATAGCTGCCATTTATTTTTGAAACTCCATTCAAACACCATCAAACACCAACATCCCAGCTCTATAACAATTTTATCAATAAATGAAACAAAAGTAGTTTTTCCTGAAAATCAGCTCATACATATACTCACTCTCAGCCCTTTTATATTTCTTCCACAGGAAACGGTTTTTCCAGTCTTCCTTCTGAAATGGCAGACTTACACTTTCTCAAGCCCTTCTGCCATTTTCAGCGGCTGGCTATTTGCAAATTCCTATAAATCTGATTCCCCAAATAGAGGTTCCCACTGTCAAATATACACAGGTGGCCATTAACTTATGACCACAATTGAGTCCAAAATTTATGTTGCTAAGTAAGAAATTTGTTAAGTGAGTTTTGCCCCATTTTACAACTTTTCTCACCACATTTGTTAAGTGAATCTCTGCAATTCCTAAATTAGTAACCCGGTTGTTAAGTGCACCTGGTTTCCCAGTTGACTTTGCTTGTCAGAAGGTTGCAAAAGGGAGATAACATGACCCTGGGACACTACAACCATCATAAATGTGAGTACTTGTCAAGCGTCCAAATGTAAATCACATGACCGTGGGGATGCTGCAACAGTCCTAAGTGTGAAAAATTCATCTATTAAACCAGCGTGCCAGAATTCCTCATCCAGCCATGCTGGCTGAAGAATTCTGAGCGTTGAAGTCCACAAGTCATAAAAGGGCCAAGTCTGAAGACCCCTGTATTAAAGTAAGGTAGGTTCGTACTCAGAAGCACAGCAGACAGTGCATTTCCACAGAAAGGCATTTAGAGTAACGCGACATTGAGAGCATATATAATGGCTGCATCCTTTGCACACTGCTCCTCTATCGAATAGGATTCCAAACGACTTCTGACAACGGGCACAAGACCGTTTCTGAGATCCATAGCTGGCACTTTTTGTTCCTTTACGCCAAAGTTGCTGCAGTTGGGTTTTCAGTTTCCTGTAGTTGACCAGAAAGAAATAAAAATATTCACACATTTGCCAGCACTACAAATTCTAAGTCATCTAAATATTATTAAGCTGTAGCTGTGAATTGTGATATTCTGACTTCCATGGAGATGAATCCTTTTACTAAACCTCCAGTGAAAAATGTCAAATACCCCAGAATATTTAATAGCCCATTCTTGAACAAAGTTTTGGAGAAGATGATAGCATCCTAATTCCAAGCCATTTTGGATGATTCTGAGTAGTCGGATCTATTTTAATTTGGTTCTTATGTGTTCAGGGCACAAAAAGACCAAGAAAGGGTGTCAACCTACAGATTCTCATGAAAAATAGATTCTTGAGCTGCATGGCTTGACTGATCTGAATGACTTGACATTAGGCAGGTTCTGACTTGTCCTGGCTGATAATCTGGCAATCTGCTCCCATTCTTAGATTATTTATATATTTCTCAATGGCTTTCACATATGAGGCATTGAAAATTCTATTCTGTTTTATAACCCCTCTTACATCCCTAAATAAAATGGATTGGGCTCCAAAGGATCTGAAAAAGTGCAATTTGACAGCATTCCTTATATAGAGCCTAAACCTCCCAGAATGGTTAGGGACAAATTTGGAGTCCTGCTCTAGCAGTTTTGCCAGTTTAAGAAGGGGAGTTTGAAGGGCAAAACTCTAGAGTGTCTAACTCTTTGAAATACTCAAGATTTGTATTTGTTGTTCAGTTGCAAAGTCATATCCGGCTCTTCGTGACCCCATGGATCATAGCACGCCAGGCTCCCTGTTCTTCTCTGTATCCCAGAGTTTGCCCAAATTCATGTTAATTGTGTCAGTGACACTAACAATGTCACCTTTTAAAACTACTAAACCGTCTTTCTAAACTTGGGCCTGACCACCCCTCCCATTTCTGCAACATGATCCTAATGTAAAATCTTGGTACTATTCTTGTGCAAGTCAAGAATGGCTCAGCTAGCCTCATCAATGCAGAAACAAGTTCTATCATGCATTTTTGTCTATTGATCCTTGAGAAACCATGAAACTCTAACATTCTCTAAAAACTATTTTGTTGAGGGAGAATTAATTGAAAGTTTAATTGGTGGGAAAGCTGATAAATCTGAATGAACCTGTTTACTCTGTTCTAAATGGGGTCTCAGTTCTTCTGAAAGATCAGTTAGGAGTTTTCTATGATTTGGGGCTGATATGTGTAGTAAACCAAACCAACCATAGTGAAGAACTACCTGCAAGCATGTAACATTTCACAAACATTAAGATCTATCTTACTATTAGTATGAGTTATAGAACGTTTTTATTAGTATCCCATTATTTGTGCAACTTTGCCTTCAAGAATATGCTTGTCCAGTACAGTATCTATTCATCATTAGTTAAGGAGGCTTATGAATTTAATGGATTTTTAAAAAGTGACTGGTTTTGAACATGGAATTGTTTTAATGTTTTAAAGATTGATGGCTAGTTACTACTGTTGCTTTATTAAATGATATGCTTTCTTAACATTTAAATTTCTGATACTGTAAACTGCTTTGGAATATTATGTTGAAAATCAGCATGGAAGCATCAAAAGCCTACTTTTTCCAAAATTCTTAAAGTTACCAAGCTGACTCCACAGGCAATGAATGATGGCACTTCAACCCAACCACCAGTTTCACTCCCCAAGCCCACAAAAATACTTTGAACTTGATCTGTGAATATCTCTGCTTCTGCCCATTTGAAATGTTGAGAAGGTACACAAACCACTGTCCCACTTCAAACTGCTGCAGAGCCTGTAAATCCAACAATCTACACAAAAGGGGAAGAAAAAGAACCAGTTATCTGTAGATTGGCAGATCGACTGGTTCTGTCTTTAGGGAAGAGGAAATTGATCAAACAGAAACCAGTTTTACTCTGATGGTTTTATCTGATCTAATTAGAAGTTACTAAGTCATCAGCTAGCATTTTTATTACAATAAGTGAACTATAGGAGTTGGAAACAAATGGTACACAGTCCTCATCTAAGGACAATAATGGAGCATGCCGATGATCATAAATTGTGATGGACATAAAATAGGCTGGGCACTTGACTGATCTGTTTTTATGACTTTTTTTGCAGCAGTTTAAGCAAATCACCAGGTTTTTTTAATTAATCTATGAAACTACTTAGGTTTCTTCCTACAAATTATTTCATTCAAAATTTCAACGCTAGAGGGTGTTTTTCTGCTATCGTGCCACAGAAGCTTGGACACTAGTACATTTTAATGTACCATTTTGTTTGGTTCTCAAAAGATACTGTATTATATATTTTGAACAGTACATTAGCTTTCACAGCTCAGAAAACAACAGCGCCTGCATTCCAAGATAGAACATACATACCTTACTCTTTCTTCCTCCAGTTTTCTCAACATCTCGTCACGGCAAAGGACATTTAGAACAATTTCTTGCTCCAGTTCCTTAAGTAAGTTAAGGTTAAATTCTTGGGACATCTTCTCTTCTGACAATCACAAGACAGAGAATCCAGTGTTGTCCAGCAGGGAAAAGAGTTATGAAGATTTACATCCTTCATTCGTTAGTGAAGCATTTGCAATGCATTGTTCTTTTTAAAAGTGGTAAAAAAAAATAGGTGTATATTCCAGAGAAGCCTTTGTTTTCACAAACTCATTATCTGTTTAATACATCTGCTCTTCTTATTAACAGTTGTCTGCTTCCTCCCATGAAGAAGTGAACTTCAGGCTCCTAATCTTCTAGAGGCAACATTAAATTGAAAAAAGAAATAAATTAATAATTCTGGTAGAAAACTGGTGTGGCATAAAATGTGGTTTATTATTGCTCAGTTTCACTCTGCTTATACATCATTGTGCAATTTGTTTTATGTAGCTTTCAAAAAAGTATTTAATAGCCAATTACAATAAGCAAACTAATAAAAGGTACATGGAATTAAGGGCTGTTTCCTAGTTTCATGTTCTCTCTCTCTCTCTCTCTCTCTCTCTCTCTCTCTCTCTCTCTCTCTCTCTCTGTGTGTGTGTGTGTGTGTGTGTGTAGGGAGGGGAGAGAGAATTATGCTTTGCCTATGTCTCTAGAGCAGTGGTTCTCAACCTTTCTAATGCCGCGACCCTATAATACAGTTCCCCATGTTGTGGTGACCCCCAACCACTTATACATCACCATGTGCCAGGGCCGTGGCCAAAGAAAAGGGGAAAAAAATGGCAGACAGCCTTGTTTGGCGACCCCCGTGAAATGGTCGTTCGACCCCAAATGGGGTCCTGACCCATAGGTTGAGAACCACTGCTCTAGAGACACATAAAATGGCTTTGCATAAAACAATGCAATTCTGATTGACCACACCTCTCTCATAGAAATCAAGAGGATTTCCTTTTGTTATTTCCAGCAATATGCATTCATATTGCATCATGGATATTGATTCATGAATTGATGTACAATAAATAGGAAAACCACGGCCATCATCCTCAAGCAAAAACCAGGGAGAATTTCAATGATGTGACTTGAAGAAAGAAATAATAACAGAGATCAAAGGAGAGAGAACTGTCTGAAAAAAAACAACACCATTCATCTGGAGTTCTGCATATATGAGAAATATACCTCCAAGTGACCATGTTTTCTAGGGAGCTTAAGAATTTGCAAGTTGGAGATTATCTCTTTTTATGCAAAATGCACAATGTGTTTCAGATAAAAGGAAGAAGTTAGCTTTACCTTCATGCCATTTGATCTGAAAATGTAGCTTTATAACTTCACTGATCGCCTAGAAGACCAAAGAAGTCAAATTGATACTTCTTTATGTTTTAAAAGCTTGTCTAAATTACTTCCTACAAATAACTTAGCATTCACACCATCATCAGACATAAGCAGATGCAGAATCTCATTGTTAACAATGACAGAAGTGCCCTTCTCTGAATCTTTAGGAACTGATTTGAAATTATAAACCATTTTCTGTAGAATAACCATATTGGCATGAATGAGATTATTCAGAATTAAGGCATGATTGATGTTAGAAAGTTAAGTATACAATGAAGAGGAAATGAGAAAAGAACAGAAGTTGTGTAATGCATAATTTCATATTATGAATCTCTCTCTTTGGAAGTCAGGAACTCAGTTTTTCACTTACAAACATTTTATTTGAATATCCAAGTACATCCTATAATTTTATTATAGAAAAATCAAGCACATTCTCATTAGTAGTGGAAATGGTTTCCGGGTCGCTGACTCTTTTTTTTTTGCCATATCAAATATTTAGCATTGTACACGTATCTCTCAAAATAATATTAACATGTTTCTTATTCTTGTGAATATAAAAAGGCGGAACTTGTCCAGGTTTATATTCTATTGGCAGAATGTGATTCAGTTATTGGATAATTGTCAGCTATTATACTACTACCCCTAGCTTTAGTTCAGGAATGCCAAAAAGCTGACCAAATCTCTAAAATTCCTTTTTGTTTGTTTGTTTTGCAAATGAGTTTAGCTATGTGTCTTATTAAATACACAGGTAGTAATCATATTTTGTCACATTATTTTAACTAAACTTAAACTGAAATTAAATTAAATCAGATTTCATTTTTGTGCTGGCTGGCCCCACCTACTTCTTCGGTACCAGCTCTCTTATTCTTTAAACAGATCCTCCAGCATCTTTAACTGGGTCCTAATGGGAATGTACTTGTTTGCTACACATTCATAATACTATAGGTTACCAGTCATTCTGACGCCGGTGAGACACAGAGGAAAATAATACAGAAAGAGTCAGACACCTCAGCCCCTTTAAAACTGGTGACAGAACTCTAGCCGGAGAGAAACTGGAAAAGAATGGAGCCCTGATTAAGTTTGGGAATTTCCAAGAAGCTATATCTTATAGATATAGGTAAAAACATTCTACGAGGAATTGAATGTGGTTCTATTTATTTCCTTGCATTGAGTCTAATTTACCTTTTATTTCTCTGCCCAACTAGCACAGGGTCTCTGTTGCGTCCCTCGCGAAATGGCAAGACACGAGAAGCAGTTGTAGTTCTCAGGAACTTCTTTATTCTTAGTTCAGCTTACAGGTTAGAAGACACCGGCAATGCCCAAAACTCCCAGCCTCTTTTATAGGCCATTCCCGAGTCAATCTGCAACTTTTGGCGCGCCAGCACTTGCACCTGCTAGGACCGTTTGCAATGCCCCGAGCCTGCTTGCACAGGCTCAGGACATAACACCCCTTCCCCCCGGGCTAAAACTATTAACCATGCCATAATAACACATAACCTATTGCGAGTGTAGTGCCATACTACCCAATGCCAGGTATTCCCTTTTCTTCCATCAACCTTAGTGTTCTATTTCCTCTGCTAACTCTGTTTTGCCAATAGAGTTACAAAATCCTCTAAATACTTAGGAGATTTCCTTGCTCTCTGTGACCTCCTAACTTCTGGGTACCTGCCAAGTACCCCTTGACTGAGGGGTGATGAGCGCCTGTCCCCCCTATTACACCTTGGTGGTTCCCAAGGACTGTGCTCCAATGCCTGGCCTGCTTGCTTGCCCATTGGGCTCGTCAGGCCACGGCTTCTTTCTTTGTTTGACCTGGTTGTCCTGCCTGGCTGTAGGCTCTCTGGCCCCTCTAAGTGACTGTCACTGTTGGGCGTTTCTGTAGAACCTCCTAGGTCCGTCCAAGACCTGTCAGGAGGTTGTCTGTTCCATGATTCCCGTCCTGTTTCCGGGCTTGCGGGGTTTTCAATACTGTCCCAAAACTCAGTTGTCCCCTGAGTGAAATCAGAGGTGTTGTAGTCGGGATCTGGTTCCTCGACCACCTCCCTGTGTGTTTGCCCCCTTCTAGGGACAGGGGTAGTGTCGGGCCAACTAGAGTGTGTGCCAGCTCTCTTGCAGGGTATGGTTTGTTGGGATGCTCCTGGGTATCCTCCCTGTCTGGAGTACTGAGTGATGTGGGTGAGTAGTGATTATGCCCCCGGGGTGACTCCCTGGCTGGAGTAGGCTCTGATGCCTGGGTTCTAGTTGGGCTCCATGACTTCCTGTTGGGAGCACATGCGGAATCTTGAGATGAGCCGTTTGTGGCTTCCTCATTGATAATGGGCAGCAGCCCATGCCCTTCCCTTTGCCCAAAGAGGTCCCCCTCCCCCCTGGAAAAGACCCAGGAGTCTCAGCGGGAAGGTCCCGTCTAGGGCGAAGTTGGTCGATGTGTCGACGCAGGACACGACCGTTGTCCAGGGACACCTCGTAAGACAGAGGACCTGTGACCCTGTATATAGAAGCGGGGACCCATGTATGACCAGGCCCGTAATTACGAGTCCAAACCGGGGCACCCACAAGTAGTTGCCTAGGTGCCCTGGGGTGTGAAACAGAAGGAGGCAGTCTGTCCGGATGCAACCAGTCAAGCTTGGTAGTCAGTTTGCGCCCCCAACGATGTTCAGCTGTAAAAGTGGACGGTGTGGTGCGATAAGAAAGGAGGAAGTCAGCCAACCTGTGATGCCAGTCTCCGTAGGTCAGTTTCTTCAAGGCGTCCTTGGTGATGCGAACCATGCGTTCAGCCATACCGTTGGTAAACGGGTGGAAAGGTGCAAAGGTGGCATGACGAATCATGTTAGCTTGCAAGAAAGCCTGGAATTCGGAGGAAGTGAATTGCGGGCCGTTGTCAGCCACGATGACGTCTGGAAGCCCGTGTGCAGCAAAAATCCCCCTCAGTACCTGAATAGCCTTTGCAGTGGTGGTGGATGAGACAGGTACAACCTCAAGCCAGGACCAAGAAGAATTGACCCTGAAAGGGCCCAGTGTAGTCAATGTACACCCTAGACCATGGAGACTGTGTTTCCTCCCATCTATGTACAGGAGCTTGGGGCATTTCAGGGCACGAGCGTTGACAAAGGTGGCATGCATGCACCTTAGCTTCAATGTCTCTATCTAATCCAGGCCACCACAAATGGCTGCGCGCAAGCGCCTTCATACGTACAATGCCAGGATGACCCTCGTGGAGAGTACCTAAGACCCTAGTCCTCATTGAGGTGGGAATGACAACTCTGCTTCCCCAAAGCAGACAACCCTGAGAGGTGGACAACTCGTTCCTTTTAGACCAGAAACTCTGAAACTCAGGACCAGGACAGTGCTCGGGCCATCCAGACAAAACCCAAGAAAGGACACGTGAAGGGTGTGATCTGTGCCTGATTCAGCGGCTACATCCCTGGCATTCAGAGGGGACTCGGGCAAGGCTTGAATAGAAAGAAGATTGATAGCTGGCGCAGGGTCAGCTTCAATTACCGGCAGGGGTAATCTGCTGAGGCCATCAGCATGGCCCATTTCCTTCCCAGGTTTGTGAAGTAAGGAAAAATCATAGGCAGACAAAAAGATAGACCACCTGAGCATCCTGGGGGAGATGATTTGGGGGGTTTGCTTATGCGTGGTGAACAGTCCCAGCAAAGGCTTATGGTCAGTGAAGACCGTGAAATGCCTACCATATAAAAAATCATGGAATTTTTTAATTCCAGCAACAACAGCTAAGGCCTCCCTGTCTATATGAGCATAATTACGCTCGGCAGAAGACAATGTTCTGGAGTAATATGCAACAGGAACCTGAGTTCTATCAGACCTGAGGTGGCTCAGTACAGCTCCTACCCCATAAGGAGAAGCATCACAAGCGATGCACACAGGAAGGGATTCATTGAAATCTGCGAGTACACTGTTAGAAGTGAGTAAGGCCTTGACCTCATTGAAACTTGCCTCATGTTTTTGTGACCACTGCCACACTGCCTGTTTGTCTAATAGCCTGTGAAGAGGCTCAGCTACACTAGCCTTATGTGGGAGAAAGGAATTGTAGAAATTCAGAAGGCCCAGAAAGGCCTGTAGTTTGGCCTTAGATTTTAGCCTAGGAGCATGCATAATAGCTTTCAGTTTGGATTCAGCAGGGTGAATCCCAGTAGCATCAATTCTGAATCCCAGAAAATCAGTAGAAGGCACCTCAATTTTGCATTTGTCCTTCTTAAGTTTGAGGCCCGTTTTCCTGAACCTTAACAGGACAGCCCTTAACCTTTCACCTAAGTTGTGTGTAGAGTCTCCTGCAATTAAGACGTCATCAAAATAGGGGCAAACCCCTGGTATACCCCGTAGTGTGTTTTCCATTACGCTTTGGAAAATCCCAGGAGCGACATTTACTCCAAATTGTAGCCTCTTCACCTTGAAAGCCCCTCTGTGGGTCACAATGGTCTGAGCTATAGCAGCATCATCATCAACAGGCAGCTGTTGATATGCCTGAGCTAGGTCAAGCTTTGCAAAAACACGCCCCCCCTTGAGGGAGGCCAGAATATGACTGACCACAGGAACAGGATAGGCATGTTGCTGCAATGCCTTATTCAGAGTGCATTTGTAATCAGCACAGATGCGAATGTCCCCATTTGCCTTGAGAGGCGTGACAATGGGGGTCTCCCAGGGACTGGAGTCAACAGGTTCTAGAATTCCTTGTTGGATCAGTTTGTCCAACTCAGTGTCAATTTTACTCTTTAAAGCAAAAGGGACCCTTCTTGCCTTAATTCTAATGGGAGTGACAGTGGGGTCTAGCTTTAATGACACAGGGGGTCCTTTGAATGTGCCCAGCTGGGGGCTGAAAACATCTGCAAATTCCTTACAGACTTCCTGTAGGTCGAGTGTTTGCAGACTATTGAGCCCTGTGACGTGTATTCCCAAGGCCTCAAACCAATCGAGTCCTATGAGACTCGTTCGTTCACCCCCTACTACTAATAGGTCTAGTGGACCCTCAAAATCCTTATACTGTACATTAAGGGTGGCCTCCTTCTTAACACACACTCTGGAGTTTTGAAAGTGTTAACACAATGTCGGAAGGCCTCAACTTGGCTTGAATTCCACTGCCGGAACAAATCTTCCTAAATGTATGCATAGAAATGATCGAAAGTGTAGACCCCGTGTCCAGTTCCATAGTCAATGGAACCCCTTGTAGCTTCACCTTAAGTGACAGCTTTTTCTTAATGGGCTTGTGTGTGCCTGTCCTATAGATGCTTCTTCGCGAAGCGCAAAACCCCACTCTATTCTGGCTGGGAACCCTGGTACCTTTCAGACGCAATTCTTCCTGAGGTTGTACCTTCTGACGGCCCAGGCACACAGCTGCAATGTGTCCTTGTTTTCCGCACGCCCTGCAGAAAGCGGAGTGGAACTTGCAGTCGGTTCTCTTGTGGCGACCTCCACAACCGATGCACTTGGGGAAAGCTGAAGAGCTTCCTTTTTGTTTCCCTTCCTTTGAAGAGTGGAGACGGTCCACTTCCTCGTCAGGATCCTCCTCAGAGTTCCTTTGGACTTCTTCCTGGTGCACGGACGCAGCATCTGGACTGCTTCTGATCGGCCGCATGTTCTTGATGGTGCCGCCCGCTGCTTCTTCTGCGGTGACCTCTCTCAAGGCATCTTGGAATGACAAGTCCTCCTTGGCAACAAGTCTCTGTTGTAACTCTCTATGCCTTAGTCCGCATACAAATCTGTCCCTCAGTCGTTCTTCGAGGTCCTTGAACTCGCAGCGGCGATGTACTCCTTGGCCGATTCTCCGGGTCGTTGATCCCTCTGCTCGAAGGTGTGGCGCCATGCGATGACGGACATCTTAGGCTAGAAGTGCTCCTTCAGTAGCTTTTTTAGATCTGCGTAGCTGACAGACTCTAGAGGAACAGGTGCTGCAAGGTTCTCAGCGATTTCGAATGCGTCTTGACCGCAAACGCACAGCAGGGTGGCAGCCTTTAAACTATCTTCCCTTACTTGATTTACCTTGAGATAGTTCTCCACCCTGGCTACGTAGGACTCCCACCTCTCTGGATGTGAGACGTCGAATTCCGAAAGCCTTCCAATTTTTGCCATTTTGTAGAAGGAAGGGTCTATCAGCCAGCCTACCCCCGAATGCACGCTGGATTGGTGGGTAGCTGCCGAGTCAACGCCGTTCCTGCCGCTCAGGACTCACTCGTGTAAGCTTACACCCTTTCGTTGATGTAAGGCAATCCCACCTTCGTCGCCAGTGTTGCGTCCCTCACGAAATGGCAAGACACGAGAAGCAGTTGTAGTTCTCAGGAACTTCTTTATTCTTAGTTCAGCTTACAGGTTAGAAGACGCCGGCCACACCCAAAACTCCCAGCCTCTTTTATAGGCCATTCCCGAGTCAATCTGCAACTTTTGGCGCGCCAGCACTTGCGCATGCGCACAAGTACTGGCGACAGCCTGCCTGGTCCCGGGCAGCTTGCACTTGCCCGGGACCATTTGCAATGCCCCAAGCCTGCTTGCACAGGCTCAGGACATAACAGTCTCTATCTAATTTACCTTTTATTTCTCTGCACAACTAGCACAGGGGTCTCCAAACTTGGCAACGTTAAGCCTTATGGACTTCAACTCCAGAATTCCTCAGCCAACATGGGTGGCTGAGGAATTCTGGGACTTGAATTCCATGAAGCTTAACATTGCCAGGTTTGGAGACCCTTGAACTAGCATACTGTGACTTCAGCTTTTACTCAGTCTTTCTCTTGCATTGGGGTGCTCCCTAAAAAATAGATAACGGTGGGCGGCACTGCCAAGCTGTTAGCCCAAAGAAGGAGGTATGTTCAGGGGGTGAAGGTCCATTGAGATTCTGGGAAAAGAGGTTTAAGAACTCCAAACTTCTACCCTGCAGGCTCAAGTTGTTTGGTTATGTAGCCCCTGGTCCTGGCAAGAAAATGGCCTGCCTTATCCCCATCTTCTGCAGAGGAATCTGAAGACATGGCTTCCATCAGAGATACCCTGATGAACTGATTCCTGATTCACATCTAAGTATCCAACACCATATGATACCACACCAGTTCCCTAGATGAAGTGCATTTTCCAAAGGCTTGATATCAATATACTGTAAATGCATTGTTCCATCATACTAAATTTAAAAAAACATGAAATAATGCAATGGCAAACAGAAAATATATTTCCTTCGAGGGATTTTGTCTTCTGAATTTACTAATAGCTCTCCTAATATTATTAACAATATTTATCTTGGATTTTGAATGTTAAATCATTAGATCTGAGATTGATGGCATGGTGGTTAAGCTCTAGACTAGAAACCAGGAGACTGTGAATTCTAGTCTGCCTTATCCTCAAATCCAACTGGGTGACTTCAGATCAGTCACTTGTCCAGAATAGTATAAGGTCTCCTGCTTGGTCCCTTCCGAATCTATTATTTCTATGTTCTATGTGCTTTCACTCAGCCCTAAGAAAGAAGCAAATGCAAACCACTTCTGAAAAAGCTTGCCAAGAAAACTGCAGGCAGTCACCAGGAGCCAAAGCTGACTCAAAAGAGCTAAAAAAAAAACCCAAAACAAATCCTTACTCTTAGAAAATAAAAACAGATCAGACAAAATTCCATGAGACTACTTTTTCCCATTAATAAATAGTGACTTACCTGTTCCTTCCAAGCCAAAAAAGAGAGGCTGGCTTTATTGAATAAGAGCTTGTTACCACCCTCTCATATGATTCTGTCTTGCTGACCCAGAGTTAACATGGAGTTTTCTCTGTGTGCTTTACCTGGCTGTCGTTCGGCCATCTGCACTGGAAGTCACCGTTAGTAATACAATTTGCTCTCAAAGAGAGCCTCAACAGGTTTTGGAAGAAGCTTTTCGCTCTGAGAAAAAACAGCTGTTCTCATTAAAATGGATCTGAAGCGTCTAGTCATTGAACAGGAAGAGTAATAGCAGTTAAATGTGATACTGACAGTGTTTCCTCCTTCTTCCTCTCTAATATTAGATGTATGCAATACTGCAAACCTCAGTTTCCGCAAAGCTTCAGAATAAGAAACATACAATTATAGTCAATATGCCATTTACAAGAAAAGATTGGGGGGAGGTTCTTGAGAACTTAGGCAATTAGGCAGTATTGTTAATGTGGAGGTGAAATTGCTTTATTTTGCTGTGAATGTGCATAATAGCATACTTTTAATAGACAGAAGGATTTTCTCTTTGTTATAGGACCAAAAGCAAATTCATCACTCATCAAGAACGAGCAGCATCTTAGCTGGAGTCTCTAGATCTTCAGTGTCTATAATCACCTATATGTCTGTTTAAGAACCCTGTCCATATTTAAAGAGAATACCGTGGAATAAATGAGCTTTTGCAGCATTTCTCTTATTAGCTCAATGATCCATCTTTCTCACAGTGGCCAATTCACACTGAATCTAGAGATTAAAGGAACTACCATGACTGTAGGTCCATTTTGCTGATATGAAGAATCACAGCTTTCCCAGAAAATAAACTTCTTGGTTCTTCGCTCTCATATTTCCAGTTATATATTTTTCATCTTTGCTGGTGAAAGTGATTCATACAGCAAAAAAACATTCCATATATTCTTGGCAACAATATGGAGGAAGGTTGTCATTGCTTTCTGGGTTATTTTTTTCAACTTCCCAGTCTAGATTATAACTTTAGGATTTCCTGGTTTACATTATTCTTCATCCTAATTATCAATCAGGCTTGGATTTTATCATCTCTTTGGGATCAGCTTTTTGGATCCAGTCAAAATCTACTTATGAATTCTAGGAATTCTGTAGGCAATATCCCTGCATTGTGTGTTCTTTGAAGGAGATAGTGCCAGAACCAGATAAGGGCTAAACAAGCCCCTTCAGAAAAGATTTTATTGTAATATATTTCAGAATAAGATTTTTTCTGTAAAACAGTGAGTTCTGTTATACTCTTCATCCACTTCTATTTGTTTACCATATGATAATCTATCCATATACTATGGTGCTGTACAATGGAATGGAATGGAATGGAACGGAACGGAACGGAACAGAACAGAATAGAATAGAATACTGTATTTGGCCAAGTGTGATTAAAACACAAGGAATTTGTCTCCAGTGCATAAGTTCTCAGTGTAAATGTAAAACAGTAGAGTAATACTAATCATAATAAATGATACCAGTAAGAGGGGCTAGTAGAGGAGATGATGATGATGATGATGATGATGATGATGATGATAATAATAATAATACAGATGCACAACATGGGTGAATAGACAGTACTGTGAGGATTAGGTGTTCAGCAGAGTGATGGCACAAGGGAAAACTGTCCCTATTTCTAGTTGTTTGGGCATGAGGAGTTGAAACAGTTTATGGCCAGGATATAAGGGATCTGTAATTATTTTCTCAGCCCTCCTTCTAACCCATTCATTAGGCTGAGCAAAACCCTTCAAGCACACACCCACAATGTTGTTCAGTTCTGTTTCTGACTCCTCTTTCTGAGCTTGTCTTTTCTTAAAAGATTTATTTTGTTCTGCCTGTTTGCCTTCCTTCAACTGAGCTGTCTTGAAATGGAGCAAGGAGCAAAGAATGGTGCTGCATACACCTTCACACTGGAAACTTTTTAAAATCTGTTGTGCTCTTCAGTCTGCTGAGTTTGAGTAATTTTATAACACTAAATAGCAGACAAAGCTGTCTAGAAATGGAGCAAGGAGCAAAGAATGGTGTTGCATACACTGGCCATAAGTGTCTAAATGGAAAGCAAACGGATAAGATGGTAGGAATGAAGAAGAGGAGCACCTAATCTGATGTTTCTAAAAACTAGATTAAATTCAACAATCACAAAATTAAAAGTACAGAATAGAATAACAGAATAACAGAATTGGAATGTACCATGGAGGTCTTCTAGTCCAATTCCCTGCTCAAGCAGGAGATCCTATGCCATTTCCGACAAGTGATTATCCAATCTCTTCTTAACAACCTCCAGTGATGGAGCCTCCACAACTTTTGAAGGCAAGTCATTCCACTGATTAATTGTTCTGTAGTATAGCAGCTCTTCCCAACCTACTGCTCCACAGTTGTGGACATTTTGTGTGTGTTTGTGCTACCGGCAACTACTTGGACAAGTCCCTGAAATTTTCTTGGCCAGATTTTGCAGAGATGGCATGCCCTTGCCTCCTCCCTAGAGCTGAAAGAGAGTGACTAGCCCAAGGTCACCCAGCTGCTTCATGCCAAATGTCTTACTACCATAGAACTCAGGATCTCTCAATTTCTAGCCTGATGCATTAGCCACTACATCAATCTGGCTCTTCTCAGTCGCGATCTATAATGTTTTTAACACCTGTAACAGTACACCCCATTATCATTGACTATGGGAGTTGTAAGTCAATATATGCCTGGAGGGCACAAAACTGGCATAACTGGCTAGATTTGGAACAGACACAGCTTTCAAAAAGCAATTACACTGATAATTCCATAAATGGGCTGATTGTTTTTGACACCACTAAAGGAACAATATTATTACATATACCAAATACGTGGCAACTTTTTATTTGTACATTATCTAAGGATAAATATAGAACCTTGGCCTAGAATCAACTTCTAGTGACTATGTGGATAAAGTATTGTTTTCTTGTTTTCTTCCTAGATGGTATGCATATGAGAGACTTTTATCTCTTCATCTCTTCCACAGCCCTGGGATCTCCTGATGGCTTTTTCACTTAGGTATCAGCCTGTCCTGATTCTATATACCTTTTTCAAGATCGTTTCAGATGGCAGATGCTGCTATCTTTTGAGCGTTAGACCTGAGGAGTGCGCCAAAACGCAGCGGTGAAAATCATGCTCCCCGTCTTTAAGTCTGGTCACTTTTTGTCCATGACTGTTTTGGATTTGCTTCGTCCCTTCTCGCCGATGGTTGCACATCAGTGTTTTTCAAACTTGGCAAATTTAAGATGGGTGGGGTTCCACCTCCCAAAGCGTTTAAAGTCCACCCACCTTTAAGATGCCAAAGTTTGAGGAAACCCTACTGTGCACCCGGCCACCCTCCCACCTTGGGAAGACAAGGCTTGAATGTGAAATAGGAAGCGTTAATCACCTCCAACTATCTAGCGGTCGCGAGCAAAGCCTGCAAAATCCCACGTGAGACAATACGTCACAATTAGAAAGGGGAAGTGGTAACAGAGGCTGCTTGCACCCGCGCGCAACCCGCGAGCAGAAAACTTAGCCCCGCCACCCCCTCCGGGCATGTCCGTCTGCGTCGCAGATGATTGGCTGAACGTGTCAACCGCAGTGCGCAACCGCAGAAGGAGGAGGAGGAGGGAGCTTGTCGCGTAGCGGCAACTAACGCGCGGGGGTTGGAGCCGAGCTGACTCAGAAGGAGGACGATGGATGAGCTCCAATCTGCCGAGGAGGTAACGCGTCTGCCGGAGCAAAGGGGCTGTCACGTCCCGGGACGTAGCTTGGTCGCAGGCCTCGCTGTAACAGACCTTTGGAGAAACAGAGGTTCCGGGTGGCCTCTCCGGTCGAGACACGCCCCTTCCCCATTGTTGCTCCTCTTCCCCACCTTCCCACCACGCCTGTGCTTTCCTCGCCTTCTTCCAAAAGACGGCGGAGAAAGAGCCCCGTTCACTTGCGCCCCAGCGGGCTTCTAGCCCCGTTCACTTGCGCCCCAGTGGGCTTCCCTGGCTGCGCTGCTCTTTCCCAGATTACGCGGAGGCGATGGGTTAGATATAGAATCAATCCTTATGCGCGGCCGCCAAAGGAGAGCTCTGCTTTGGGCTTCTGCTAGAATTCAGAGGTTTTTTTTTAAATAAAAATAGTCCTCCCTCCCTCCCAATGAGTTAAGCCATATGCACGCGGGGGAACCCGTTGGGTTGCAGCCCTGGTTCCTGCAGAAAATGATTATTACTTGAATGAGAAAACAGCCCTTTTTCTGTGAACAATGTCTGCACTGTTTATTATTTATTTTTAAATTTATTTACAGGGCTTAGATGGCTGCCTATCTCATGAAATGATTCTAGGCAGCCTAGAACAACCCATAAAAACATGACTGAAAATGAGAGGTTTTTTTCCCCCTCACCCCCCATGGCAGAGCCAATATCCTCTCAGCTCAACCCTCATCCTAGCTGAACGATTGGGAGAAGAACGGGGGTCTTTACAGGCCTCTGGAGGACTGTTGTTCTGTTGGCTATTGTCGTATCTGTCATTTATATGCTTAAGAAAACATGGAGCATCTTTCTTCTTTGTGAGAGGCTAAGAAAGTGATACAGCCTATTAAGTCAAAGTAAGCTGTAAGTTACTCAGATATGTGATCCTATTTAAATTGAATGAGTGAAGTATTTATTTAAGTGAGGCTTTTCAGTTTTGCATAATGTAATTTTAAACATTTCTGCTTTATTTTAAAAGACTGCATTTGTTGTGGACGAAGTAAGCAACATTATAAAAGAGGTAAATTTATTTGTCCTTATACATGAATACGATCTTGCATCATTATTACATTTCCTTTTATTCCTCAACCGAATTGTTTTTAAGAAAGTGGTTCTGCCAGTTAACTGGCTTTATTAATAGTTTATATTTTTATAGTACCAAACAACTGTGTCTCCATTCAAAAGAAGAATTTATCACTTCTACAACATGAGGAATAACTCCTTCTCCAGGTTTTAAATATAAGCCCACTTATTAATGGGAATAATAACCTGCATAATCATAGGGCTATTTCTTAGTAAAGTGTATGAGTGTATATGTGCACACATAGCAGAATAACAGAGTTGGAGGGATCTTGGAGATCTTCTAATTCAACCTCCTGCTCAGGCAGGAAACCCTACCATTTCAGATAAATAGTTGTCCAATCTCTTAAAAACTTCCAGTGTTGGAGCATTCACAACTCCTGGAGGCAAGTTGTTCCACTGATTAATTGTTCTAACCGTCAGGAAATTTCTCCTTAGTTCTAGGTTGCTTCTCTCCTTGATCGGTTTCCATCCATTGCTTCTTGTCCTGCCTTCAAGTGCTTTGGAGAATAGTCTGACTCCCTCTCTTTTGTGGCAACCCTTGAGATATTGGAACTCTGCTTCATTAAACTAGACATACCCATTTCCAGCAGCCATTCCTTATATGCTTTAGCCTCCAGTCCCCTAATCTTTGTTCTCTGTACTCTTTCTAGAGTCCCAATATCTTTTTTCCATCGTGGTGACCAAATTTGGATGCAGTATTCCAAGTATGGTTTTACCAAGACATTATAAAGTGGTATTAATACTTCACATGATCTTGATTCTATCCCTCTGTTGGCTTTTTTGGCAGCTGCAGCATACTGCTATCTCATATTTAAGTGATTGTCCACTAGGGCTCCAAGATATCTCTCACAGTTGTCATAAACATGACAAAAATAGTGAGTTTGCCTTGCTAGTAGTTTGGCTTATACATTTTGAAGAAGCAACTTCCAGATGCTCTCTAAAGGCTGCTTTGCATTCTGGCCAAATCATAATGAGGATATGGGTTGTCATTACCAGGGCATCTTGTTCTAGGTAGGACTGAAACCTGCACACTATCTGGAATTGGATAGACCCTGATTATGGTTTCCATTGCTTTTAAAGCAGGAATTATAAGCCTGGAGGAACCCACCACCACCAGTCACAGATAACCTCCTTTAGAAGAAACATGATCCTGACCAAAGTTCATTCATTGAATGCATTTGTTCAGCCAACTCTGAATCCATCCATAATGGTAGCAAAGTCCAGGTTATATTTTACCATATTCTATAGAATCTCCTGAATTGTGGTACAATTTTTGCTATTTCATTTGAGACATTTCAAAGAAATTATAACTTGTCTCCATAGTAGTCCTAACTGTAAAATCACTTTCAAGTAATGCTGTGGGGTTCTTAAATAAAAAAATATTTCACAACAATATTTCATATATATGTGGAAAATGTGTAAATGGAGATGGACTGCTGTTTTAACTGCATCAACCCCCCCCCCCTTTTGGGGAGCACCTTTATCTTCAGGAGTGGGTTTTCAGAGTTTAAAAGGTACTGCATACAATGAGATAGGAACTCTGGAAATCCCTTGAGTATACATACCTTCTAGTAACATTTTAGGTGGACTCTAAAGCTCTATATTTCCTTCTCCTTTCTGTGGAGGAGATGACCAGACAGCAACAGCCCAAAATAAGTGGAAAAGGGAAAATCTTCTAAATGTCAGGAAAATGTTCCATTTCTGAACAGCTTTTCTGACTTATTTTTGATGCTTGCGTAATGTTGTTTAACATAAAATTACTTTAGGGACAAATACATATATACAGTAGGTTTTCTGAATCCCAGCCAATGTTTATCTTTTATTGTCCTAAGAGAACTGCATTCATAACAATACTACTATTGCTTGAAATGGTTAAGCATATCCAGCTCAGAGCTTTGTCTCATGTAATTAGATTTGGCCTCTAACTTAATTTGTAACCTATTGAATCTAGATAAATAGTGGTGGGAATGAATTGGTTTCCATGCTTGTGGCTCACTCAGGCAGAGTAGGCTGTTTTGCCCTATTTAATTCCAACTTCAGAAACAAATTGTTAGCAACTTCTAACTATAGAATCTTTTCTTCATATGTGTTTCCTGCAAATTACATCATGATTCAGCTTTCTCAGATAATGACAAATCTTTTTTTTTTTTTTGAGGAGCTTTGATTCCATTTATATTCTGTGTCATAATTTGTAATCCATACTTAGGCACAAAGTTTGACAAACTCTTTAGCTGTGGCTTCCAGTTCCACAGCTGGTTCTTCAGTGTCTTCAAGTTATTGCTGCCCATGTAAACCCTTTTCCTCCATATCCATTAAGTCTTATTCCAGTTTCATATTTTGTAATAAAATCCTTAGCCTTTTGGACAGAGTTTAGTCTAAATCTTTATTGATGGAAAGTAAAAATTATATCTTCCAGTTTATGCCATCTATTAATATAGAGTCTATGTAGTTCATTATTTTAGCGCAGATTATAGTTTGGTTAATAGTTGTCAAGGTACCAGTGTCTTATTTGCTAATCCCTTGTTGTAGCAACTGCCTTAACAATTCAGAGAAAGTTGAGAACATGCCTTGTTATGCTAAGCATTACAATACAGAAAGCACATCCTTTTTAAAGTTAAGTTATAGTTGATAATTTACTAAATCTATGAAAATAATCTCCGAGACACAGTCAATTCCCAGGCTTATCAAATGTAAATGTTCCTCAGTAATAGTTTATTAATTTTAAAAATCCTTCAGGGGGAAAAATACCCCTACCAACTAAGGCTTAATAATATGCAGTGAATGACTGTCAAAGACTCTACACACTAAATATATAGACATAATCTCTATGTAAGCATGCCCTGATAAGACCCATTTTATTTTAAGAGGGGATTAATTGTGGCTGATCTGCATTGAGACTAGAATAGAAAGGTTTAATTTCATTGGAAGAGAATAAGAATAATCCCATTTGGGTTGATGCAATAGGTTATGCTTTTTTTTCCTCTCCCCCTGCTAAGGACAAATAGATTTTTTTAAAAAATGTATTAATCTTGTTTGTTGCAAAACAAAGAATTACCACAACACAAGTTAAAGCGGAAGAGATAGCAAGCATGATAGAAGGGATGGAAAGGAAGCAAGGGTTGTCCCTCTTCAACAATAGAGTGGGGGGGGGCATCGGGATCTTAGGAGAATCTCATTCCAGGGACAGGCACTGCTACAGACGGCATGATTCCAATGCTGGCTGTGGAATTCTGGGAGTTGAAGTCCACATGCCTTAAAATTGTCAAGGTTGAGAAACACTGCAAGTCTATGCCATATACTGTACTGTAATAACCAGACAAATGGAATTGTTACTAGTGGGAGCCAGTTTAGGGGAGGTAGTGCCAGATGGTGGAATGGGATATAACTCGTTGCATACTAAAACAAAAATCTCTTGCATAAGCTTCCTAATTGAATGTGGGGAAATTCCACATCAGGCGTTTCAGACAATGGAAGGGTTAAAGGAAAGTTGTTTAACTTGTCTTTCCAAATAGGAAGCAAAGAGCAACTGAACCCCAGGAAGTTCTGGGGACCAAACTGAGGAATCAATTGAGAGGTGAAACCCCTCTCAGGCCATCTTTAGAAAAAAAGAAGAGCCACTATTTTTGGTTTTGTACAGCATTGTTTATGCCCAAATAAGTATGATGGGTATGCAATGATTATATGAATCCAGGTAACCCACTACTTTTGCCTGCTTCTTTCAGTTACATTGCAATTATTTTTGTTCTTGAAGTTTTAATGGCAGTACTGTTAAGATATTATCAATCTATGGGTTTCCCCCCCCCCAATGCCATGGATATGGAGAGTTCATCCTCACAATAAAAGTTCAAGGTTGTATGTCTTATCAATATTTGGGTGGGTAGGGATATTACTCATCTCTTTTTGTCAAAAATGAATTAATTGGGAGAAATGTTTGCATACCATTTCTAATTTCTGAGGCTGATGTGTGAATTTTAAAATAGAACTATGGGAATTTAGTGATCTATATTTAATCTGTAGGCCGTAGAAGGAACAATAGGTGGCAATGCATATCTGCACAGCAAAGTGAACCAATGGACTACAACTGTTGTGGAGCAGATTTTAAGTCAGTTGACAAAGCTGGGGAAACCATTCAAATATGTTGGTAAGTTAATGCAGTCTTATCATGTACTTTTCAGAAATGCTTCCAAATAAAATTAAAGCTTGAAATTTTAAGGGTGGGGAGATTCTAATAGTAAATAGTCTGAACATTTGTGGTCATGCTACAAGTACTCTATATCCTTTGCAAAATCAGATATGATTGTGATGCATAGACAAATGCTTTTTTTTCTAACAGTATTTTGTCTATAATTTATAGTGACCTGTGTGATTATGCAAAAAAATGGTGCTGGACTTCACACTGCAAACTCTTGCTTCTGGGACAATGCCGCTGATGGTATAAAACTCTTTCAAAATTGGTGTTGCTGAACTTTTTTACAGAAAATTTGTCTAACTCTGGAAGCTCTTTCTTTTGGGTCAAATAATTTGCATTGCATTTACAAACTTGTTTCCAGTGCATTCACCTGATCATGGCTCATGGCTATGATGACTTACTCTCCCTTACTGTTCAAAATAGGCAATATAGTAAACTGTAAATGGGTGTGCTTCCAAACAGTTTAAATAGCAGTAGAGTTTGTCTACAAGTACTACTTAAACTTATGAAGAGTTTTGCCATAGACATAAATGCCTGGATTAAGTATGGATGCACTAATCTATGTCTTGTGTTTATGTGGCTCTCCTAACTGGTTGATTTTTTTTTATTATTTTTTTTTGGTAGGAGCCTGCACTGTAAGATGGGAGAACAAGACTATGTACTGTATTGTCAGTGCCTTCGGACTTGCAATATAATTTGCCTTGAAATTCTTCAGACCTTGTTGTTGCTTTAAGTCCAGTAAAACTGTGAATTCGGTGAATAACTAAGAATTCCCCATTCTTTCTGAGGAAAAACAGAGAAATTTCAGTACTGTTATATAAGCATGATTCCTTCTTCACATCCAAACTCTGTCTTAACACTTTAAGGACTTTCTCAAGGTGCTAATACCTGAAATTTGCTGCAGTTCTATAGCTTTACTCCGCCTGTGTGGGTAAGAATGATTTTCACTCTAGATTTGTTTGTTATTAAATTATTGAAGCTCTGAATATGCGTATGTTCGTTCCTAAAACTTAAAAAAAATAGAAATGCGGAAAATATCATGAGCACAGCAGTGGCTGACCTTTGCTGGTTTTGGAAGTAAGCAAATTGGGGCCAGATTAGTATTTGGGGTCCCCCATGGAAGTCCCATTTTTTTAAAAAAAAAAATGCTACCGATGTGTACATATGATCACCAGGAACTGAGTTTGATTTGGTAATTTTATCCTAACTTTTAATAGTCCAGTATTTAACATGCTGAAGTTCTGAAAGAGTATCATTATTCCTTAATCTCATTAGCTTCCTGGGTATTTTGTTTTGGCTGGCATTCCCCTGTAAAGCATGAAAAAAATGAAAGAAAGACTAATTGACATTGATACAGAAGTTCAGTATAAAATTTTATTATGAATAAATTGAATTTCATGATCTTTATTTTGCACTATTTCTAGTATTTACTAAAAAAAAATCCTTTACATTACATTATGCCGTGGGAAAATTCTGTTTCATATTCCAAACCTCATAATTGCAAGCAGCAGATTCCCTGAAGCCCGGAGATTACACATTACAATAAACCATGCATATTCCTTCTTCAAGCAAAATTAAATTTACAAATGTACTCATTAACAGCCATTTTGAAAAATCGCTAGCCACATTTTGATATAAAATTTTCTATATTTGCTTTGTTACATCTGTTTTAAAAAATTGACATCTGTTGAATAGTACTGAAAGGATTTTTCCATATATATATTGGCACAAGTGGAGCATAAGACAACAAATACAACAAAAGAGCCACAGAGCTAATGTGCAATGATTGCACAATTTCAGGTATTTTTTTCTCAAATTTTGTATCAGATGTGAACCTAAAGCTTGATAGCATGTATTTTTAAATAAACATGCACAAAATCAGAATTAAAATCACCATTAAAATAATTGATTTTTTTCAACATACCTATTAACTTTTCCAATTCCCAGGCTTACGCTGCTCTTGGTGGTACTGAAAAAGCCTGTTTTATCCTTTTCAAATATTTCCATGAAAACATGTTTTTCGATGGACCTCACTAATTACAAAAGTTAAATCTGATTGGCTTTATGGCAGTGTAATATGACATTATCTCCCTGTCCTATACAATCTGTTTTCTGGTTTAATCAGGTTATTCTATTGGATCCAATCCTTTACTAAAAGAGCAGCTGCTTTCACTAAAGGAAACATGGCATTGTCAGAGGACATTTTAATTTTTAAATTCAGGCTTGGGAGGGTGTAAAATGCTACTGCTAACATCAGAATTATTGGAATCCACCTAAAAACTGAGTACACTGAAGGGATAGTCTCATGTTCCCATAATGCTGAGCAGCCATCTTACAATGAGAACTACCCTAACCCCCCAAAGAACATGAGAGCTGTAAGTGAGGGTAGTATTTAAAACCCTCTCCTTTTACTAATATCTCTCTAGCTCAGTGGTTCTCAACCTTTTTAATGCCGCGACCCCCAACTGGTCGTAAGTCGAGGATTACTCAACCGGTCGTAAGTCGAGGACTATTCAACTGGTGCAGCACCTTTTGCAGAATGGGACTTTTGGTGGGCTCAGCAGGGCAGAGACAGCCTGGACAATTCCTATTGGCTTTTGAAAGCCAATAGAATTAGACTCTATTCAAGAGAATCTATTCTATTGGCTTTCAAAAGCCAATAGAATAAAAGGGAGTAGCACAGCTAAGGAAAAGGGGGAAAAAATGGCGGACTACGTTGTTTGGCGACCCCTGTGAAATGGTCATTCGACCCCAAATGGGGTCCCGACCCACAGGTTGAGAACCACTGCTCTAGCTTCTTACTGGGAAAATATATTGGTATCCAAATGAATCTCCTTAATTGAAGGAGTTCTCTCCCATTATTCCCTTAACTAAAAGGGTGAAATAGATCCCGTCTCATTACACCATTATATACTGCACATGCAAAAGTATTCTGTGATTAATAATACGCCTGAAAAATAGTCTCAATTTCCAATAAGGAGTGAGATTCAAAAAAGAGCAGCAGCCCTCATCTTTGTTGGATTTTCAAAGTTAGATGTCATTCTGTATGTTCTGGAAGTTTCCTTCTGAGCTTTCCAAAACTTAAAAAATACCACATTACATATGAAAAAAGGCAATAATACACTTGTTCCTTGCAAAAGGTTTTAAAGTGATCCCTATTGGACTTGCCTCTTTTCAAAGATACAGACAAAAAAAAGAGAGGGGAAGAGATGCCTAATTCATCCCATGCAAATTACTAAATTATTTAAAGAAACAAATCCAGACAAATTCATCAGAAAACTTTTAACTCATAAAGAATACAAGTTTACAGTTTATAAAATTATGTAAAAATAAATGGTGTACAGGTAGTCCTTGATTTCTGACCCCAATTGGGACCAGCCAGTCTGTCACTAAAGGGGTGGTCATTAAGTGAGTTGTGCCCAATTTTGACATCTTTTTTGCTGCCGTAGTTAAGGGAATCTGGATGTTAAGTGAATCATGCAGTTGTTAAGGGAATCCAGCTTCCATTGGCTTTGCTTGTTGCAAACTGGCTGCTGCAAATTGTGATCACTGCAACAGTTGCTAAGTGCAAGGACCAGTCGTAGCTTTTTAGTGCTGTCGTAATTTTGAATAGTCATTAAATGAATAGTATTAAGTTGAAAGCTACCACAATTCTAATCCCTCATAGAGATTTAAGAAAGTGCTCGATTTTCTTGCTGACAATGTCTCCTTAAAGTAATAAATTCAGGATGGATAAGTTTTAATTGTGTACTAAAAATATCAAAGGTCAGACAAACATTTTGCAAATAGGAAAAAAGATCAAAACGTTTAGGAGATAGTATATTTGCTAGACATTTTCAACTGGCTGAAGTGGTGCAGGCAAGTTCAGTGATATTCTGCTTACAGCTACATTACTAGGTAAAAAAGCCACCTGAAATTCCCAAGGTCAAATGAACTTCAGGGGCATTGAACTGAATATACAGTTCTAGAGAAACATAAATGAATTCAGGATAAAATAACTTGCGAACCTCATTAAATAAAACTTGGACATCTTAGTGTTGAATCTAATGCTATTTGTCAGCAAGATATCGCTGGAAGAGTCTACTCTAGTTTACCCTGTCATCAACTTCCAATGGGCCCAGAGAGATTAAGGAAACCTCAACAGCAAAGCTGGGATACAGAAGAAGGAACAGATTTTCTTTTATACTTTTGCACAAATTGAATGCAAACCTTAGAAAAGCAACTCAAAATAACATAAAACAACATATACTTCAACAACTTTTCATGAGTAAGCAATACAAAAAAATTAGAGGAAGATATTCTGTCTTATCGTTTTACACTATAAGCTTGGCATACTTAAAATATTATCACAAAGGAAAACTGGATCTTTCACATATACCAAAGACATGATTTACAGTAATATACAGTAGAGAACTGTGGTGATCACATAATTTTACATGTGGGACATTGAACTGCAACCCACACATCATCTTTTTTAGGTATCTGTTTTGAGTAACTTACAAAAATGAGTTTATCATTGTATTAATGGGTTTGGGTTATTTCAGTTTTTATTACATTCTTGGGTATGTCTGGGATCCAGTCCCTGCATGCCTATTAAGCATCTCCTTACTATAATTTCTTGCATGCATTGAAGGATCATCAGATTTGCATGTGATAGAGCTGAGAATACTGTCTCCCCTCAGCACAAAATGAAGTGCTTTTTAATTGAGGTCCTGGAATTAAATAATTAGGCTGCTCCTGAAGCTTAAACTTAGAACAAGACCTAAAGTAAGAAATGACTCAAACGTGAACATTGGAAACACATTTAATTTTACCTGTAATTTAAACTGTGCTTTAATTCTTATGTATCATTCAGGTTTTATTTCACAGGTTATAAGAGCTTCATGTGTTTAAGAAGGTTACTGGAGTGAATGAGAAGGAGGAAGATGTACTATGAAAGCACAGAAAATAGAAGGTTAATTAAAATAGAAGGTTATCCCATAAAGTTAATCAGATGAAATTAATTCACAGAATCGGTCTAGATGTAAGACTAAAAGGTATTTTTAGTGCACTGTTAACTGGTATCCTCATTCCAGTTAGCACACTGAAGTTCAGTAATTTCTTTTTCTAACAAGGATCAGAAAGTTGTAGAAGAGGTTATTTTATTTATGTTAGGAGATGAGATTAAAAAAGTCTGAGAAATACCATTCAAGATACTTGCAATTCAAATCAAGAAATCACATCACAATCCCCAGGCACTTGCTGTTTGCTGCAGAGCTCTTCATTCCTATTCTATATGTACAATAGGAACAATTGTACTCTGTATTATAGCCCGCGCATAAAATAGCCATGAAGCGAAAGCAATTCTAAGAAAATGTTATTTGACCATATTTTATTCATATAATTCTTCCAGAGTTTTGTAATCTGAATGAATTTGTTTCTGTGCAAATCTGAAAGTTCTACCTAACTCTGCCAAAGGAGTGTTCATCCAATAAAAACAAATCAACCACCATTTTGGATCCTGCCAGGTTATAAAATGAGCAAGTGCTCATTTTACTAGTCATCATACTTAACATTTACTGTGTGTTTCTAAACTACACTACTTAATAATGTTCAATTTATCAAAATATTCAGAACATTTTTCTGAAGTAGAGTATGTGATTGAAGTATATGTTCCCTTAAAAAATACTAGCATCAGCAGAAGGCTTTGCTTTGAATTCAAAATTGCCATGCATTTAAATGTTAGCATTATTTTAAGATAAATCAGCTTTCAAATAATCCCTTCTCTCAATTTGTTTTGTTTTCTAAAACAACACAACTATACTAGTGTCTCAGAAAGAATGAGCTGCTGTGGTAATCAATTGTCCACAACAGAAAACAACAGGATAAATTTTATGAATTCAAGACACTGGTTATGTACTGAATTATTATTGGGAGTTCCGTAATATGTCATCTCTGCCTGTGGTAATATTCTGCTCTTTTCTCGAGAGCCAAGAAGACCAATTTCTACTTAACTTTGGAATCTATAGACGTTGGGACATGGTGCATTGTCCTGATGCTCAATATGCAATAACAAGATAATTTACTTCAGCATTTTTAAAACGCAAAGTATTGCCGCCATTTAAATAGTAACGAAGCACAGTCATAAATAGTAATGAAGCATAGTAATTAAAACAGCCTAATCAAGGAACAATAAAAAAAAACAAAAACATTCCCAGCAACACTGACAGGGCAAGCCATATATAAACAGAACAAACACCACTCCCTTTTAGCACTGAACATATTATCTAATTGGGCAAAGAAATGTCTTCAAGGAAAAAACCAAGCTCAGAGAGCATCAAAGACTCCACAGTTCAACCCTGAGCTCCAAATATTCTCTTATATTAATAATGAAGGAATTAGGAAATCCGGTATTCAGTTGTTAATCCATAATAAGCTAAGACTCCACCCAAAAAACATATTGATTTAATAATCTGATTCCACAGCATTCCATCCATGAATGCATCCTGTTGCTACTGAGTTTTACAAGAGGGGAGTGGATAAACCACAAGTTTCTTAAAAATAAATGTTACTAAACATTCATTTCTCACTCCCATCCATTTTAGATTTGTAAACAGAAAATGACTGGAATAAAGGACATACTTCCACCAAAAGCAAGGTTCACTTGACTATAGGAAATATAACATTACTCTTGTTCCATATTCTTGGCTGTTCCTGTGCAAATTTAATCACTGTCCGATTCCTCTTTGAATTTGGCTCTGATAGCCCGGCCATTCTGAAGTGGCATTTCTTCATAGTCACTCCTGTCCAAACATATATTGAAGAAATACTTTAACATAAGCAGCAAAAATATTACAATTCCATACCATTTAAATTCTGGAATTTACTAGCTTTATTATTTTCAATTTGAGCTCTTTCCAGGTAAGTACGCAAACTATATTCCTTTATTTGCTTTCATCCTGTTTGGAAACTCCCCTTTTTGACGCTTTTAAATTTGATTGTATTAGAAGCATGGTATAATCAGTTTAATTTAATTTTAATTGTGTTTATTTAAAGCAATATACATTTCAAATTTTGCAGCAGTCAAAATTCATCAAAAACAGAGATTCCAGGACAGTAATAAAAATCCTGAAAAAAATGAGCCACACAATTTTGACAGGGCTGATACATTCCACAGCTACTTAATACTGCACTTGCTTGAGAATGGATAGCTTGTAATTTCAAAGATATCAAACTTGGGACAAGAAAAAAAAAATCAGGTACCAATCAGCATAACCCAAAAAAGAATCAAGGTTAAGATTGGGGAAAAAACTGACTAGGATCAATCATAAAATTCCCAAACCCTTCTTTCAAGCCAATCTAACTGACTTATGTATAGTATTTTTTTTATTTTACAATATTTACAAGCTACATTTACAGATCTAAATAAGAAAATCACTATTCTCCCTTATACAGTTCTTTGCTTTCATCAAATTTTGGAGATAATAATTCAACTGGCTTACTAGCTGCCTGGTGAACTTCGTAGATTTGCCATCTTTTTATAACAGTTTTATTCCTTTTTGGGCAAAAAACCCATGCACAACAGCAGTTTAACAATTTATGCCTACCTTTGCCACATATTCATTCCAGAAGTACTTCCTTAGCATGTTTTTATTACATAAACAACTTCCGGGACAGGATAGGTTTTTTAATGTAGGAAATGGAGAGGTTCGACAAAAAAGTGACAATACGTTTTATAGAACACTACAGAAACAAAGTGGGATTGATGACATTATTGCAAGTCTTACTTACCCATAGATAACATCGTCATCGGAATCATTCAACATGGAAAAGGCTGGGTTGTCTTTCAACTGAGATTCTGAAAGACATTTTGAATATAATCAATAAATGCATCTCTCTTCCCCAAAGATCAGTCATGTTAATAAAAGCCATTTAATTCAGGTCTCTTCTTCCTTGTCACTCTTTGGTGCCAACTGAGTGAATATTAAATCCTCCTCTCTTTGCTTCAGTTTTCATTTATTTATTGTTATAGGTTGGAATTAGGCAATCATTTGGTGTAAAGGGAAATGGGCATCTTACCTTTTTGTTGATTACTGTAGAGAGGGGAGGGTCCCATTACATATGTTGGGACTGAGATTTTAGGGATAGTTTCAGATTTTGCTCTATTATCAAAGAATGGTGCTACTTTTTTAAAGGCTCATTTTTACCCCCACATTTTTAATCTCAAAACACCTGGAAACTATGCCAAGTTCAGATTGCCTAACAAATTTAGTTCTGGAAGGTATAATAAAAAAATAATACCTGATATAACATGAATGCCCACAAAGAATATAATTTTACTATGCACTGCACCATTTGGTACTAAACTTCATAGCTTATCCATAGGTCAGTCAAACTGTATTTCAAACAAAAAACAAAACAGAATTTTGCCAAAAGAAGCAACAGAAATTAACTTACCATACAGGGCATTTTTTGATGGTGAATACACAAAGGCTAACGTGTATAGATAGAAATTTAATAAGCCATAGAATGATAAGAATTCTGCAGGTGATAACTGTCAAGGATATCATTACATATGAAACAATTCAACATATCATCAAGATCTAAAAAACCATTCAAAAAGCTGAACGAGCCCCATTTTCTATTCCTCACCCAACAGTGATTTACCGTATATGCCGGCATACAAGGCAACCCGAAGTATAAGACGACCCCCGTCTTTAACGTTGGGCCGCATTCCTAGAACGTCGTCTTATACGCCGGAAACTACCAGTATTTCTGGCGTATAAGACGACTCGGCGTATAAGACGACCCCCGTCTTTGGCACCGATTTCAGCGCTCGCGGAAGTCGCCTTATACGCCGGCATTTATAGTACACATTAAAACACTGAGTAAAAAGCCAACCTCATAAAAACATTTGTACACATTTGTTTCCTAAGATCTTTTACAGCAGGATCCCCAACTCTGGGTCCGTGGACCGGCACCAGTCTGTGACATGCCAGAAACCAAGTCGCGCAAACAAGTGACGCCCCATCCATGGGATGCAGGCAGCACATGAAACCACATCCTCTCCAGTCTGTGGAAAAAACCTCTCTCCATGGAACCGGTCCCTGTTGCCCAAAAGGTTGAGGGCTGCTGCTTTACAGAAATTTGCCAACATCCCACCAGCATTTAAAGCTACATTTGTTTGTGTTGCCCAAAGAGGGTCTTCCCTGTAGTTGTAACTAGCCTTTGGAAGTCCTGACCTTGGAAATTCCCCTAACCTTCAGTATGAAGATCTTCATCACCATGATAAAAAAACAGACAAGCAAGCAAACAATCCTGAGTTGCTAGGTTTTAATCTTTGTGCATATCCACCTTTTTATCTGACATGCTTTAATTTTTAACTTTAATTTATACTGAATTTTAAACATTTTTTAAAATTAAACTTTGAGCCAGTGAGATATTTTGAGGGTGAAATATTAGTGTATTCAACACATAAATCAAATAAGAACTAAATGATCAGGAAGACTTAACAATATTCATATTATTTTAGGGACTCAAATGACACATTGCACAAGAATCTAAATTTATATACATGGAAAGTCTATGGAGATTCTCAATCATCCAGGCCATGGTTGTCCCAAACGTGCTGTTCAAAAGGCAACTGGACTTTCTTGGAGTTTTTTTTCTTCAAAAACATTTCACCTCTCATTCAAGAAGCTTCCTTAGTTCTGGGTGAAAACTGAAGAAACCATTCCTCACCATTCAGCCAGAACTGAAGAAGCTTCTTGGATGAGAAGTGAAATGTCTTCAAGGAAAAAAAAACCAAGACAGTCCAGTTGCCTTTTGAATAGCACCTTTGGGATACATACATGGAACCGGAGAATATTAACTGTGGGCTTCAGAGTAATAAGGATGGTTAGTCACTGTTGATTTTTAGAGACTACATAATGGACTATAAAGCCTATCTTACTTATTTGTGTATTAGTCTTTTCAATTACGATTGCCCTACCATTTGATAGAAACTTTGAGCAGGATGTCACAGTAAAAGGATATAATTATGATAATGGGTTGAAAGCTCAGCCACAAAATTGTCCTGAAGAACCTGTGCTCCAAAACGCAAATAAAATGTAGCAATGCTGCAAGAAGAAAAGAAATGAAATCAAAGTTCAGTCTACATTTTTAATTCCAAGATCAATTAAATAAAAATCCATCTTTAAAATTAATATTAGGAAGCTATTTCCCAGGTAAAGTGCAGAAAGTTGCAAATGGGCCAATTACAAATATATGCCTGCAAGAATAATACAAGCGCCCAAATAAATTAGGAATAAGTTATATAAGACATCGAAATAGTTGATGGGGATTATGGGGAGGAAAAAGGTTGTGTTTAATCTTATAGGATTTTTTACCAAAAAAAACCCCTACAATATTAATGGTTGACTGCTGTGGTGTAAAATTTGCACAGTAAGAATGTCTAGACAGATTGTTTTAATTCTGTTCATTGAGTTTCTTTATTTTACCACCAATACCACCACTTAAAAAGAAAATGTTACCGAAGTGCACTATCTAGTACAACGGTACCTTGTAAGGAATAATGCAGTGAGTCACAAGGTAGCCAACACTGACAAGTTCTAACTTGTGTGTGGAATACCAACAAGACAAAATGTTCATGTCAAAATGCATTGAGTACCAAATTCAATGAGCTTCAAAGCAATTGAGTACCAAGGTACCACTATATCTGCTTATGTCAGAAAAGAGAGATTGATCCAATGAAGTGCATCTAATATCTTGCACAACATCTTTCATATTTCACACAGAGTATTAGGAATGTGCAAAAAGTTCTAGTCTGATAAATGTCAAGAGATTGTATTTTCCTTACAGAATAAGTTGACCCAGCCATTAAAGAGTGGGAGTGGATGGGTAAGGAAGGGTTGGGTCAATTTAGAGACATATAGTTTCCAAAACAGGAAGTAATTTGTGTTTCAAACATGGTCCATCCTCCCAAATGGAACATTTTGCACACTTTTAGGTATAACTGAATAATATCTTCAAACGAATAATATCTCACCTAATGATAAGCACTATGAATGTCAGCGCAGTCAAGAATTTCAACCTGAGATCTGAGAAAAGAAGAGCAAAGAGTTATCTGATAAATAACTTTCTAGAATGAAGTATCTTTCTAGAAGAACAATATATTATCAGAAATCACAGGTGAAGAATAGAGCTTACCAACATAGGGCATATTCCGAAGCTCCGAGCACGCCCGGATTATTAGAAATAAAAGGTACAAAATGTAGACTGTCGCCACCACAACGAAGAAGATTTTCATCCCCTGTTACAAAATACATTTAAAAACCATTTTAACATTATTTTGATAGCACCACACTTCTTTTCTCCCACATTTGTGCATTATACCAGGAGTTGACAGCTGTATCAGGCATTGAACACTATCCTTATTTTTATATGATTGAAAATTCAGGAAAGCACCAAAGTTTGTAAGATTACAATAATCCCACCCCAAGGGCTTCAGTGACTTCTTGACCATTTTAAATTTTATTTTCAGTTATTGGGAATGACTCTACAGCCTTAAAATAGAGAAAAGATGCAAAAAATAGCAATTCCTTTGTAAAGTTGAGCAGTTTTCTGGAGTAAGTGCACAATTCTTAAAAACTCACCCAACTGGCAATAAATAAGAGAAAAAGAAAAAAGGAAAGCAAAAGATATACTAGAGATACCAAAAACTTACTGGGGTAAATAAAAAGGAAAAATCTTAAGAATAAATCAAAAATTTAGGATCCAAATAAATGAAATGCTTACATGGCTCAATTTTGCTATATTCAAAGTAGATTGCATGCACTGCCAGAAAAGTAAACCAATTTTTTAAAATCTTTTTTTGCAGTAGTAGCTTCGAAAATAAACAAAGTTTAAGCTCTGGTATAGTTCTCCCTAATACATACAAATAATTTTAGATGTGGAGTAAGCATAAATTTTTACACAGTTAAATAGACAGGTAAAAACAGCTCTATTTTCAAAATCATTTCCTATGCAAATTCAAAACTGCTTTATGCTAACATACCTGAAAGTTATTTGTGTCAGTCTCATATTGGTATGTTGGATCATGTAGTTCATTGACCCTAAAAAACAAAACATGCCATGATCATTAATCTAAACATTTATCTGTAACAATCTAAAGGATATGATTTTGATATAGTTGGCTTGTTAATTCTTCCAGAACTTTTAAAATATTTTCTAAGATCTCTTACTGGCCTTTTCAAAATTAATATTTTAGCTCCCTTTTTCATTTATTGTTATGTTAGTATTCATTCCAATATTATTGCTGTTTCTAATCTGAATTTTGTAAATTGTTTTGAATTAGGAAAGGAATAATTGGTGTCTAACAAATAAAAAGAAGTAAATTACTTACGTCTGCCATATGCCTAGCGTAACAGAAGCCAGCCACAGGAGACCAACGATAAGGAATTTGGGAAAATAAAAGGTCATGCATTTTCTTTCTCCCTAAATAAAATGGAAAAGAGAAAGAAACATGACAACCATATTGGATTTGCTTTACAAATATCAGTTAAAACTCTGTGAAAATATTTTTATTTAAAAGAGAGCGAGAGTTCTGTTGCTTCTATATTGATTTTAAATGCAAGAAGAATATATACCTCCTAAAAATTCTTTTTCCCTATTAATAGCAGAGGAAGAGATCAGACTGAAGTTTAATTACTCTTTAAGGAATGGCTGTCAAATCTGTGTCGGTTTCTTTGGAAAAACACAAGTAATCATTGCCAATGTTTCCAAAATCTGGCAGATCTCACTTATGGCTGCAGATGTTCCTCTGCAGAGCAGAGAAATTCTGCAAATTGTTGCATACTTTTTGGAGAGAAGTGTAGCATCTAATCATTCCAATGCTTATTTTCTTTTAATATGATTTTTTAGATTCAGGATCGTAAAACTTGTTATTTTCTTCAGAAGGACTTCCAAAGCAGTGATCAGTGTAACAAGTCAGCCACCTGACTATGGTACTTCATATTCTTATAGAAACTTTGTTCTAACTAAATGTTATCATTTATGACACACAGTTTTTCAGTGTGAGTTCTGAAGAAGGAATCAGCAAGTAATCAACTATGTAATTAATTTGACCAAGGGCAGAACGAAAACAACAGATTTACACAGCCAAGATTCTCAAGGCCTTCCTTCACTAAAAGAAAGCATATCATTTGTTACCTAATGAATAATGGAAATTCTTTTTGGGTTGCTGGCCACATAGAGCTAAATCCAAAATTGTGTAAGTGGATTTCCTCTTGAGCAAAAGAAGCTTTCATCTTCCTCCTCTTCTTCCTCCATTGCTTACTCCATCATTTTTCATTACACTTATTCTGAAGATTGCCCCAGTATCTCAGAGACAATATACAAGGAGCTAAGGATAGAATTCTGTTCAGCAGTAATGTTCATTTCATTAGCATTCAACACCTATTAAGTACCACATGTTGCTAAGTGAAACAAGCAAGTTTCACAGAAAAGATTAATGACTGGCTGGGATTTGGGATTAGGAGGACCCTTGTTCAGCCATGAAGATCAGTAGATATTTCTAGACCAACCGCCATCTCATAGCCTAGTTACTTTGCAGAGTTTGTAGAAGAGATAAAAATTATACTTTGTATGTGTTTAACAAAAAGGGGATTATCGCAGAGCATAAACCACACTGAAATATTATTTATTCCTGTCATAATAACTGTGCTAGATGAAAGACCCAACTTTTCCAGCAATCTTCACTTACATTGTTCAAGAATATGTACAATTCCCTTTTAAAGGCAACCAAATTGATTGCTTATTACTACAATCTGCAGCAGCAAATTTTATTGCTCAGTTTCACGCAATGTAATTCAGTAATTCCTCTATTTCTTTCCTGAGTTTCCCACCATTTTGCAGAAAGAATGATCCTGTTCACTTTATCCATTCCACTTTCCTAATCCCATCCTTCTTTATTGTATTAATTGTAAAAAGCTCTAATTACTTTAATTTTTTTAGCCATTGCATCATTTTGAAATGAAGAGTTCAGAACATTACTCACAGTCCAAAGTCAGTCCTCACCTGTACTCTGATCCCGTGGTAGACACAAAGCCAGAACAGCAGCAAGGCACACAAGAACAAAGACTGAAAGAGGTCATCTAGCATTCCAGGAAACCAGCTGTTGATTAGGAATGAGAGGGGGAAAAATGGGTCTGTAACAGAATGGGAGAGGGAGAGAGTCAGAAGACATCATTGTTACTACCCACAAGAATATTCTGCCTTTTCTACAGCACACAAGACCTAGATGTTGCTAAACCACATCCACTCAAGCCAGCCTAGCCAATATTGGTATATTGGCTATACAGGTAATACAACATACAATACAGGTATGTTGGAAAATATAGATCAACACATTTGAACTCTGTGCCATCACAATAATCTAAGAAAACAATGTAATACATGTGTTAAGTATTTCTATATGGTATTTCTAATATACTTTGCTATGGATTTAAAACATGTGCATTCTAAAGGCAATTTACTGAGAAAACATTGGCTAAACTTTGGGCTGGATTTGTAAAGAAACTGATTTTCTCTCCCATCCCAGCTTATTACAACAGAATTCAACTGAAGATGGCCAGGAACTGGAACTGAGCAGGAATTTTCAAAAATTGGACAAAGGCACTGCTAACAACTGAACACACATACATTCACACACAAAGAAAACCCCTTCTATTCACCCTAATTGGTCTAGTGGGCACCAAGCATGGAAACAAATATTGGAGATTAAGACTACCAAAGAAGACCAATTTTGTGTAGTGGTTAAGACATCAGGCTAGAAATTGGGAGTGTGTGAGTTCTAGTCCTAACTTAGGTACAAAGCCAGCTAGGTAACCTTGGGCCAGTTACTTTCTCTCAGGCCTAAAAAGGAGGCAGTAGCAAACCATTTTCAAAAAAACTTGCCCAGAAAACTGCAGGGCCTAGTCCACGCCAATCACCAGGAGTCAACACTGACTCAAAGGCACAGACACAAATAAAAGACTAATAGAGGAACGTAAGGTAGTCAGATTCTCATCTCTGTTTCAAGTTATACGTAAGGCTACTTGCCTGATGCATGATTGCTATTGGTTCCTTTTACAGAAATGATCATGCACCAAAGGCCGTACTTTTGCCTGGAGAAAGACTGGAAACTTCTTAATAGCTACCTTGAATTCTACAACTCCTTCTTAAGCAAGACATCAACCTCCACTCAAACTGATATGTTATTTGTTACTTCTGCTCATTTGCAGAAAAACACTGTGCAATGTACAATAATACTGAAAATGAAAAATAACAGGATAGCCACATTGATAACAACTACAACTCTGATGGATCAAGTTTTCTTGTTTTTCTAAGAAGTCATGTTTTAAAAAAAAAATTCAAAACTGTAATGGGAAGGCACCCCAGAAATGGGGGGCTATCACCAATTTGAGCATAGGCTCCCTGAATATTATATTTTAGAACACATGGGTCTTTGCCAAGCCCTCCATCTTTCAACACTTCTTTTTAATTAGAATAAGATGCTGGCCTATTTCACTAATCAGCTTTTTTGCTGTTGAGTGATAGCAGAGGTTAACTTGGTTCCACATATTAAACCTTTTCAGCTACTTCAAACACTCTTAATTATTTTAGTATTAAACAGAGGGAACAACCATGCAAAAGATTTTTTATCAAATCTGAAAATGCCATCAGATTATGCTGATCGGCCAAGCCTAATGTTTCCAAGTGATTTTAATTGGAATTTTAATTTTCAATCAATCTCTCACATGTGAAAGTAGGATAACTCTCCAAATCCCATCATATCAAAATATGATTTGAATAAATACCATTATAAAGTAATAGCAGGGGGAGGAGGATTGACATCCACTTCTGCTCTATCCCCCAATCTCGCATGGAGAACTTGCGCAGGGAGTGAGCAAAAAGACACTGCAAAGAAAGGCAGAAGAATTATAACAATTATGTGGTATCTGTTCAGCATAAGACAAGGGGTGCAATTTGAGAGTATGTGCAGCATGAGTGACTTATACACCCAAAACAGAATTCCTAATTGCAGAGCAATGACTAATCATAAAATCTCATGGCTACATCTTGCTAAGGATAATGGGAGATAATGGGAGAGACCAATAATGAAGAGATGCAGCCAACATGGCCAGTAATAAGGGATGTTTGTAATATTCAGTAGTGTCTGAATGTCACAAATGTAACCATAAAACAATCACTAAGCTGAAACTCAGCTCAAGTGTATGTGCTGCATCACCTATGAAGAAGACACACATGATGTAACAGATTTCTTCTATTACATTATTTTCTTCTCTTATTGCATGTATACTGTCTCATCTTCAACTCTGATCATTTTTCTTGCCTCCCTCACTCGATAAAGAAATATTTTCCCACAAGATTGTTTAACAAAAACCTTCCAGCATCAAGCAATTCTAATCTTTTGGATCAAGGAGAATAAATAGCAAAGCAAAGCAAGAGAACTAAGCCAACAGCAGGTGTACCTAAACAGACACTGATTTGTTGAAGACAGGCAAATATACCAAAATATTTTATCAAAAACTAAACAAAAAGCTGATACTCACTGTGACTATAAAAGTAAGAACCACAAAGACAAATCGGAACCAGATTTCCACCTGGGAGAAAGCTGGGTTATAAGTTTTCCACTGAAAAAAAAAGATGTCAGAATATTAACCAAAAACTTTGTGAATAAAAATACTTTGCACACTCAATATTCTTTTCCCATTGAGTGCCCTTCAAATGCACATACATGTGTACCTTTATTATGGTAACTGATCAGAATACAAATAATAGCAGATGAAATAACATAAAAGAGTTGGTGATTAGTTTATTGATGTGATCGAAGTATACCTAATTTTACAAACAGTATAATAAAGTTGGGCCATATTCATAGAAGTAGGATCTTTCCAGTCTGGTAATTGGAGTTGCCTGGTTATTTTATTAACTGGGAAGTGATGAAAATGGGTTCTTGCATCCTTATAAAAAGTACACAATATTGCATGGTCCTTGGCAGGTGTCTCCAAACTTGGCAATTTTAAGACTTTTGGACTTCAGTTTCCAGAATTGTGCCCCCTCCATAGGGGCATAACCTAAGTTCATGTGGAATTTGTTTCTATGTTCCCTTAAGAACTGCCATAGGAAGTACATTAAAGCATGATAAGGTTAGTGCCCTCTGGAATTGAGGCCTGGTTATGTGGTGTAGTTGTCTTACTGAACTGAAAAAATAGGTCTGACGGTTCAGGAAAGTGTTCCTGGGCAGGACAGATTAATCCAGTTGGGCTTCCAGATCTCAAGGAAGTTGCTGAGTCACCATCTAGAAAGACAGTTAATTCTCCCTTCAGCAAGAGAGAATCCGCTACGCTGGACCAATAAGGTGGAGCTTTCTTCACAGAAAGATGTCAATCCACACATTACAATGCAAACGTTATTTGGAGGACATCTGAATCATGTGGACAGGATTAATTTCCCTTCACTTGTCTACTGTTCTTTAGATACAGTGGATTACAAATCCCTGGCAAATGAATTTTCTCCTGAACAACAGCCAAAATCTGAAGTCCCATCAAACATTTGGGAACTCACCACCATTTGTTAATTCCTCCAATCCTATTTCAAACTAAGCTTCAGAAATACAGCTCATAAAATTAAAGAATAGATAATAATACCCAGTGCTTTTTTTGAAAAAAAAAAAAAAAAAGGTGCCAGAACTCACACACTTCATACAACCCGTCTTGCCTACCCTACAAGGTTCCATCCAAAAAAGGTGCCAGAACTCTGTTCTGGGCGTTCTATGAGAAAAAAAGCCCTGATAATACCGAATGGGCCCCAATAAGAATTAGATTCTTAGAGGCTCTTTTCGCTTTCTACCAAATTCTGAAATGTACCTAGATAATTTTTTTTTTTAATCCTCTAACTATACTGGTAGTACTTGGACTTCTTTCTTTCCTATGATCTGCTTGATGCTTTTTTACAGTCCATTTCACTGTCAGGCAAATATATCATTATTTAGACAAGGCTAATCTATCTGATTACCCAATTCTCTTTACTGCTCAAGATATTTTAATTAACTGTTTTATTGCAACAATCAGAATTTATCATATTTCAGAAGAGAAAAAGATAAGAAAATAATTTTCTCAATTCCTCTTTGCAATCTCCAGTTTCACTCCCCATGCTCTCCAGTAGTGTCTCCAATTTACTTTTTTTTTTTTTTTTGGTAATTACACTTAGCACAAGACTTTTTTTTTCAGATCAGCACTTTACAGTTTGTCTTTTTTATGTCAAGTCATATGTCTGTAAGTCATATCAGATTCAGAATCAAGTCAACTGCAATCATGTTTAGTATGTAATCTATTTCTATTCAGTTTTTTAAAAAAGGGGATTTCTTCCGCTCCTTAAAAACAATGCCAGACAGATATTTGCAATTCTCTGCCTGGTAACTTATTTAGAAAGATTTTATAATTATTGTCAACTGCTTCAGGATTTCCTGTAGAAAATCAACACAAAGAGACTTCCGTGTAAAACTGAACTTATATTTTCTGCTTACTTTTACAATTTATACTTACCGTGAAGTTGTAACTCTTGAGGTGGTAGATCTCAGGAAACTTGTTAAAGGTAACAACAATGTTATAACGAGTGAAATTCAAATAACCAAGATGAACCACAATAATTTCATCACAATCCTGTGAATTGGGATATGAAAACTGGGTTAGTAGATTAATAATAGCCTTAACTTCATTTTGATTTGGAAATGTGTGAATAGTTCTAAAACACACACGGTTTAGGTACAGCCTCTTATTTTTTTAAAATTGTTACTGACAAAGAACTCATCTGAATAAAATTGCTAATAATATTTTTTTTAGAATTTCTACCAAACATATTGCCATCACTCCTCTTAGAAAGGCAACTTGTTGAATCTGTGATTGCCCATATACATGAATAATTAATTTATGAGTTTCTCTAACAGGTAAATGATTTTACATCTACTTTAGCATTTTTTTTTTTAAAAAAAGAAATTTTCTTGTGCTTACCTTAGCACAGTTGAATATCCTTGTCCGGTTGTGAGTTTCTTTATTATAGTAACGTACACTTCCATTCTTTAGTACACCACGTATTGTAACTGACATAATAAAGCTAATTTTCAAGCTATCCAATTTGTTATCTGAAACATTAAATCAAACACCTGTGACTGAATTTATTTTGAATCACAGACAATCTCTCCCTTTCAGTTGCATGGGGAGATGCTCTAAAAGAACCTAGGAGAGGCCATGACAAGAACTATTATTTTTTTGTTTTAATTAAATATAGGTAATAAGATGACTTCCAAGTATATAATAGTTTCTCCCTTCTCCTACATTAAAAGATTCAATTCATTAACAATTTTACGAATTCCTCCGAAAACCACTTCCTAGGGTTTTGGAGCTGCATGTCACCCAGGGCCTCAGACTGTGTTCTTCTCCTATAAGAGGAATAGTGCAACACGGAGAGAAAAATAAACCAGGAAGGACGAAAACACATCAAGAAATATCAACTGCAGAATCAATCAAATCAGCCACAGGCTACTGAAACTAGTTCATGTTGAAATATGCTCCCAAATAGGCACCATATTTTTTTAGGCACTAGCAACACTCTTCTATGACTTATGGTAGCTTTCTTCAAATAGATGTCCTCCAGACATGTTGGATGACACCTGTGATATTCAACCAGCACTAGGAGAGCAATTGGCTGGGTTAAGCTGATATTTGCGTGATATTTTTGGAGGCAAGGTTCAGCCAGTTCACATATTTTGGATCAGCAAATATGCTCATTAATTACAGCTCTTTTATTACTGGATCTTTTACATTTCAGACATCTGGAAATGTATCTTACACATATGAAATGTGTCACGTAACTTGTTATCTGGAGAAATTTATTTTGCTTATTTTATTTAAAGAAAGAAAAAAACTTAACTAGATAAGGCAGATCAGAAACCTAATTTGTTGTGACAAAAGTGATGCATGAGAAAAGAACTTACGGTAATAAGGCAGCAATTTAGTCAGCATCTTTTCATCTCCTATGGCTATTATTCATTTTCTAATTTATATACCTATTCTCCTAATCTTTTTATGAAGGGCTTTTGACTATATTTTTCGATATTGCCTCTTTCTATGAGGCAGTCTAAGAACAGGTGTCTTCCTTTAGCAATACACCCAGTTTTGTTTATAGGAGCTTAATACATTGGCTGGTTAGCACAAAGTTAATAACTACTTATTATTGATTTACTTGCCCTCCATCCTTTTTAAAAAAATATACAATGATGTGAAAAATTGTTATTTTAGCCTTCAAAAAAAATTTGTGAGATGGACAGGTATATAAATTTGATAAATTAATATATATATAATGATACACACTCTAGCATGTGTATGGTATATACAGCAAATGCTGGCAGTTACATGCACTTGATGTAGCTAAAGAAAATGACATTTTGCAATATAGTCCGTCTTCAGGGGAATTTTCCTCAAAGGAAAAATGTATTTTCTTAGTTAACCCGAACTGCAGAAGCAACATAAGCCATCTTTTCCAGGCAAACTGATTTCAGTAAGAAGATTTCTTTCTGATATATGTTCCATAGCTACAAAAAGTCTTGGTACATACATTGCCTCGTTATATCTTGACATCAGTAATGGGTAATGTTGCTTACTAACACCCCATTTTTATTGGCTTCTTGATATATACAGTGGGGGAGGCAGGATTATCAAGCACCTAAGACACTGTGATACAAAATCAGTGTATCAGATATGACTCTGTTTTCTCCATGCTAAACCAAAATGGGACACAAACACTCTACACCAGGCATGCGCAATCCGCGGCTCACAGGCCACATGCAGCCCTGGGGAGCTAATAATGCAGCCCTACAAAATTGTAAACTTTTAAATTGTTATGTGATTTATGTACATTAACTGTATTACATATTTTATATGTGGCCCAGGACAATTCCTCTTCATTCAATGCAGCCCCAGCAAGCCAAAAGGTTGGACACCCATGCTATATAGCAGGGGTCTGCAACCTTGACAACTTTAAGATTTGTAGACTTCAGCTCCCAGAACTCCTCAGCCAGCTGGGAATTCTGGGAGCTGAGGTCCACAAGTCTTAAAAGTTGTCAAGGTTGCAGACCCCTGCTATATACCATTCATAGGTATATATGTAATTAAGATAATGCAGCAAAACAGCAATATACAACTAAACTAAAAAAAAAAATATCCTTACCAGAAGGTTGCTCCAAGTGCACTGTACAGGTAAGCCAGAGTTGTTGATTATAAGTAGATATTGGTGGCGAACTTAAAGGAAATGACTTTGTCTACAACAAAATGGAAGCCAAAGCTGCAATCATGTGAAATCTTCCCGTTAAAAAAATCATTCTAGTGGAAGCATAAGCTAGTTCGCTTTTTAGCAGTATCTGTTAAGTACTAATAGCACAAATGTTACCCAATCCAAGTTCATGGAAATATTTTCAGAAATATAGGAGCATGTATTAAAAATACACCTCCGACAATAGCATTATCCAAATGTAATTCATTCAAAGAAAATATGTCATTCGTGCACTTCCTGGAGCAGAGTGGCTGGGTGGTTAAGACGCTGAGTTGGAGATTAGCAAGCCCGTGTTCAAGATCCGAGTGGGGTCGTGGTACAGGGTTGAGCTCCCATCCTTCGCTCCAGTTCCTCCAGGGACATGAAAGGAGCCCCCATACTAGGCATCTCCCAGACAAGGGGTAGGCAACCTTGGCTCTTTTATGACTCGTGGACTTCAACTCCCAGAATTCCTGAGCCAGCCATGCTGGCTCAGGAATTCTGAGAGTTGAAATCCACAAGTCATAAAAGAGCCAAGGTTGCCTATCCCTGTCCCAGACAATGGTGGTGTCATCGGCTAATCCTTTCAACCTGGAAGCCCCTTGGTGCTTCTGACACAAGTGCTATGCTATGCGATTCATAACCCTGTCAGTTTGGAAAAGGTTTCTTTTTTCTTTTTTAATAGTTTTATTCATTTATAACATAAAATGTGAAAATACAAAAGCAAATAGCAGGGGACAACAGTAGCAAAAGGGAAAACAAAAAAGGTGTGGAGAAAAGGGAGGGAGAAACAAAAAGCATTGACTTCCATCTCTCTCTCTCTGTGTGTGTTGCAGTAAAATCAGACATTAAAATCAAATCTCAACTTTTTACATTTCTATGTAATGAAAGGGTTTCGTTGTTTTGTCCTGAGCCACAAAACATATTCTGATCCCTAAGAAATCTTAAAAACCTGCATTTCATCAAGAGAAAGGGACTAACAGTTTTACAGATGATCTTTAGCTTACAACCACAATGGAGACCAGCAAGGCGGTTGAGTCAGATCTAATTTTACAACCTCTTTTGACCATGGTTGTTAAACGAATCAGTGCAGTTGTGGAGTGAGTCATGCAGTCATTAAGTGAATCCCGCTTCCCCCATTGACTTCGATGGTCAGAAGGCAGCTGGAAAGGTCTCCGATGACAATCACATGATCCCGGGACACTGCACGTGTCATAAATATCAGCCAGTTGCCAAGCAACCAAATTTTGATCACATGACCATGGGAATGCTGTGATCATCGTAAGTGCAAGGAAAGGTCATCACTTTTTTCAGTGCTGTTCTAACTTTGAATGATCACTAAATGAAGGGTTGTAAGTGGAGGACTGTATTTGGTATGGAAGCAGAAGGAACAAAGTAACTCCTATTACCCTGAATTACAGCCTGGGCGTCAGTAGGAAGAGCCTTGACCTTTGCTACTGAACCACTGAACGGCTGTGCAAGCCGTAGACTCAAGACAAACCCGAGACCATGGTTAATATTATTCTGAATATAAGAAATTGTTGGAATGATACCTTTTTATCTAAAGTATTTGTAGAACGGTTAAAAATTGTTTGGAAAGTCAGAGTACATCAAATGCAAAACCAAGGAACACAAGACTTACCTTTGAACCATTAGTCATCGGAGGTATTTCTGATATGCATTCAATGACTTTGGGACCTGAACAATACATAAAGGCACAGAATTTAATCTATGAATGGCTGTGGAACTCTGGAAGTTGAAGTCCACACATCGTTAAGGCTGATGACGTGGAGAAACATTGCTGTAAAGCTATCAAATATTTTGTTTGCTTGTTTTTTAAAAAAAAAATCCAAATGCTTTTAAGACAAACACCTCATTTGGATAAGACTATAGAATATATTGTGTTAAAATTGCAGGACAGTTGAATCCACTTCCCATGAAAGCAAAAAAAAAAGATTTTCTAGCTCCTGAAACACCTGTCTGCCTCACCAAAGGAGAGAATTTTGCACCGCCCTGTAAAAGCAAACAGTGTGTATCAGCCACTTAGGCTCAAGTCAGCAAATCCATCTGCCCCAACTATTGTGCAAAAGTAAAGCACCTACATCAGCATTCACTTCCCCAGGATAACAAAGGTCAGGTTCATCCTTCCAACGTGACATCAAATATCATCTATGTCAGTGTTTCCCAAACTTGACAATTTTAAGGCATGTGGACTTCACTGTGCGTTGCTGGCTGTGGAATTCTGGGAGTTGAAGTCCTCATGCCTTAAAATTGTCAAGTTTGGGAAACATTGATCTATGTGGACCTGGAGGGCAACTATCTGAAGGAGTTTTTCCAACAAACTGCAGAGGAACCCTGCATGCTTTACTTGTGTTTAGAAATTGGGTGTGAGCAGGCTATATTTAAATACTTTTTTATTCAGACACTATTTTCTTATTCAATGTCACAAACAGCATTTACAGCAGGGGTCCCCAACTCCTGATCCGTGGACTGGTACCAGGCCGCGGCATACCAGCAAACTGGTCCACACAAACAATCAAAGCCCCATCTGTGGGATGCAGGCAGCACACAAAACCACGCACTCTCCAGTCCATGGAAAAACCTCTCTCCCCGTAACCGGTCCCTAGTGCCCAAAAGGTTGGGAACTTCTGATTTATAGTATACAATATACCACCATGACTGGACCAGAATTTCCATTGCTAAGCAAGGCAGTTGTTAAATGAGCCTTGCCCAATTTTACAACAGTTTTTGGGCATGGTTATTAAGTGAACCGCCCTAAATACATGTAAAGGCTGTTGGGTTTATTCTCAGTTTGCTGCTGAAATTCTTTCTGTTAAGTGAATCATGTGGTCATTAAGTGAGTCTGGCTTCCCCCATTGATTTGGTTTGTCGGAAGCCGGGTGGGAAGGTTACAAATGAAGATCACATGATCCTGGGATGCTGCGACTTTTGTAAATACATGTTAGTTGCAAAGTGCCCGAATTTTGATCATGTGATCGTGGGAATGCTTTGACAGTTTTAAGTGTGAAGACAGGGTTGTGAATCCCTTTTTTCCAGTGCTGTTGTTAACTTCAAACGGTTGCTAAACAAATGGTTATAACTTGAGGACTATCTGTTTTCAATTAACTACACAAGGGGCATTTGAAACTCCCCACTAAAAAAAAAAAAAAGCAAACCACAACTTCTGGTGATGAGACTGTTCTACACTAGATTTCTACTTCATTAGAGGCATACAAATACAACTGAGACCAGTATTTCTGTTGTTAAGCAAGGCAGTTGTTAAGCGAGTCACATCTGAGTCTCTGAACTATCTATAATAATAATAATGTTGGAAGGGACCTTGGAGGTCATCTAGTCCAACCCCCTGCTCAGGCAGGAAACTCTATACCATTTCAGACAAGTGGCTGTCCAGTCTCTTCTTAAAAATTTCCAGTATTGGAGCATTCATAACTTCTGGAGGCAGGTTGTTCTACTGATTTAACTGTTCTAAATTTCTCCTTAGTTCTATGTTGCTTCTCTCCTTGATTAGTTTCCATCCCTTGCTTCTTGTCCTGCCTTCAGGCGCTTTGGAAAATAGCTTGACTCCCTCTTCTTTGTGGCAGCCCCTGAGATATTGTTACACTGCTATCATGTCCCCCCTCATCCTTCCTTTCGTTAAACTAGACATACCCAATTCCAGCAACCGTTCCTTATATGTTTTAGCGTCCAGTCCCCTAATCATCTTTGTTGTTCTTCTCTGTACTCTTTCTAGAGTCCCAACATCTTTTTTACATCGTGGTGACCAAAACTGGATGCAGTATCTGGCACAGTTAATTGAACCATTGCAGTTATGAAGTGAATCATGTTGTCATTAAGCAACTCCAGCTTCCCCCATTGACTTTGCTTTCAGAAGACAGCTGAAAGGGTCGCAAATGGCAGGACACCACATGCTGCAACTGTTGTAAATACATGCTAGTTGCAAGCACCCGATTTTGGTCATGTGACCGTGGGGACACTGCAACTGTCATAAGAATGACAGTCACTTTTTTCAGTACCATTGTAACTTTAAACGCTCACTAAATGAATGATTGTACAGAGTTCAAATTCAAGATGGGGGAGCACATGTGCACTCTTTGTTCTTGAAGGTCACCAACTATCACTCCTCTTAAAACATTAGTATCTTTCAGTACAGGTAGTCCTCAACTTACAACCATTCATTTAGTGACTGGTCAAAGTTACAATGGCACTGAAAAAAGTGACTTATCACTGTTTTTCACTTACGAGCATTGTAGCATCCCCCACAGTCACGCGATCAGGATTTGGATGCTTGACAATTGGCTCATATTTATGATGGTTGAGTTCTGGGGGTCATGTGATCCCCTTTTGTGACTGTCAAGGTAATGACTTAGAAGCTAACCAGCTGATGTAATGTATGATGTAATGTTGGAAATGACTCAGCAGGGTCTATGTCTCTTTAAGAGCAAGCAGGGTCTGTATCTCTTTAAGAGCTTTGTATAAAAGGGAAGGCTCTGCAGATGTGTTCTCTCTCTTCTGTATTCCTGCTGTAACTGTGGTGTGTTGGATCCTGCTGTATTAACACGTGTATGTATATTGTTCCTGGTGTATAATATTGTAGATAGTGTAAGATAAACCACCATTTAATATAGACCACTATTTACTGTGTTTACTCCTGGGTTACCTCAGCGCAATAAGACTGTGCATGCTCTGACAGTGATCCTCTGACAAACAAAGTTAATGGGAAAGCCAGATTCTCTTAACAACCGTGTCACTAACCTAAGAACTGCAGTGATTCAAATTAACAATCATGTCAAGAAAAGTTGTAAAATGGGGAAAAATTCACTTGACAAGTGTCTTGCTTAGCAATGGAAATTTTGGGTTCAGTTGTGATTATTAAGTCATTGATGATCTGTAATGCCTAAAATTCATTTATCATTTTTATATCAAGATACTAACAAGGAATACTTTCAGTGGTTTCACTGTTATAATAACGTAATCACAAATGCAGCCCAGGAACAGAAGAAGAAGCAAGTAAAAAAAAAAAATCTGGAAGAAAAGGTGAAAATCTTACCTGCAATGCCTATTAAGACTGTCAAGCCAAAACAAATGAAGAATACTACAAAGACCAAAACAAAGTGGCGCTTGGACAGAGTATATAATCGCATTGGAGCTAGTCTGTAAGCAAGGAGAGAAAAATTAAGTTACAGGTAAACTTTATGTTATCAGAGGTGGGGGTGTTTTTTTCTTCTGGACAAAAAAAAAAATCCAAAATTAAAAGATAAGAATTTCTATCTAATATATGTGGTCATTAATTCATATTTTTAAAGATTTTTTAGACATCACTTTGGAAGGGTTTGTATTAAACAGTAACATATTCTTATCAAATATATAAATCAACCTTCTCGGAAGTGTATGCATAACTTATTCCTGATTTACATAAAGCAGGCTATGTCTTAATGGTAAAGGCTACATTTGATCCAGTTTGTGATTTTGTGACTCATTGTCACCATGCATAATCAGAAAATGAGACTCGGATGTTCTTGAAGGAATCAGAAAGCAACATAAAACTGTAGAAACACACAAACTTCTGTTTCTGTATTTCCTTTATAATGTGCTGATCTTTACTTGAAGAGAAATTTAGAAGACACCCCCTCCCACCCAAGAAATTTTGAATGATCCTAGAATAGATCTCTTCACTTACTATGCCTTCAGATGCCTCAGTAAAAGGCAAAAAGACTCAGCCTTCATTATAATGGCTAGTTCTTGCATGATAATATAATGTAGCCAACATTTAGAACACATTTATATTTAACCTTGCCTATCCCCAACATTAATATGGCTTTGGGACCAAGAAGTGACAATGTTTCATTCTGCATTCCAATAGAGAAAAGGAAATCAACATTATGTGTCAATCCACAAACACTTTTTAAAAGCATCAACAATTTTAATAAAGACATAAACACAGTGTTTCCTCCTAGACAGACAGGAAGAGGAGAAATCTTTCCTGGGGCCTTGTTTCTAAACTTATAATTGACACACCTCAATTACATCTTTTGACTTGGCAGCTCTTATTCCAATTATAAATGCAACAGGTTACAGACAGTTTTACATAGGAAAGCTATTACTTTCTGATTATCTTATCACATAAGTTCGGTCTTATTGTTTAAATCCTATATGGAAGTCGGAAACAAGCCTGCTTTCCACCAGCTGAATCAACTTTTTTTTTAACCTGGTGCTCTCCAAAGGTGTACTATATACAATAGATCAGCCTCAGTCGCTTTAAGATGTGTGAACTCCCAGAACTCCCCAACCAGCATGATGGATTCTGGGAATTGAAGTCCACACATATCTTACTGAAGTTGTGAAACACTGCTACAGCATCGATTATGGGAGCCCATCAATCTGGACAGTATCACAAGGAGGGAAGATTGGACCGGAGCTACCAAACTGCTCTTTCCGACCCTTGGCCTCAGCCTAATTTCCTCCTCAACCTCGGAACCGGCCACGAACTCCGGGCGGTATGTTCCAACGTAACCGGATCACATCAGGCTGGGAAAGGCTTTACAAAGTCTGGCCTGAGTTACGCACAGTAGGATGGGAACAAAATTGCTAAGCGAGCGCCGTGCAATGTTGCGTGCCCATCTGCAACCGCCCCTCCTTCCTCCCTCGACTATATCCCCTTGGCGGTCAAGGCATCACGCTTCCCAGGGAAGCCCCCCGCTCCGTTTCCAAGCGCAGCCCCTCTCCAACTCACGGCTCCATGTCCACGCTGCGCACGCGCACCAAGGCTCCTTCACCTTGCCAGCATCTCGCCTCCAGAGGAGGAGCCGCTCCACTGCCACCTGGCCCGGTGGCGGCACCGCCCGCGAGCCGCTCAAAGCACTTCCGCGTGCGTCACCCGGCGTCCCAGCCCTGCCTCCTGGCGAAGGGGACAGGGCGAAGAGAGCCCCGCCCAGCCGCTCTTTGGAGGAAGGGAGGGGGAGCAGCTGCGCGCTGTCAGGAAAGATTGCCATCGCTGCCTCAGCCGGGCAATTTGAAAACCTCTAAGGAGGGACGGGGGGGGGGGGGGCGGAAAGAATTGCTGAACCTCCAAACAAGCTCAGGAATCCTCGTTTCCGAGGCTCCTCCTGCTTCTTTGCCTTTAAAATGATAAAATCCCCCTCAAGTTGGTGTAAAATTCTGGCGGCTGATGTTCCTTGAAAATCACACAAGGTTTCACACAACACACTAAATTCCAAAACAAGTAATCCAGAATAACAGCATAACAGAGTTGCAAGGGACCTTGTAGGTCTTCTAGTCCAATCCCCCTCTTGCTCAAGCAAGCGACCCTACACTATTCTGGACAAATGGTTGTCCAGTCTCTTCTTAAAAAAAAACCTCCAGTGATGAAGAACCCACAACTTCTGGAGGAAAGTCACCCGTTTCACTGGTTAATTGTTCTCACTGTCAGGAAATTTCTCCAGATTGTTTCTCTCCACATTATCGCCAGGCCCAAACATAATTGATTGACTAATTTGATTGAATATATGCTATTAAGTGGGTGATAGCTCTTAACAACCAGATAGATTTTGTCCATGACATTCTGTACCCAACCAGTCCTTCAAGCACTTCAAATGGCACACCATTGCTCCTGAGTCCATCCAACTTGATATAGGTCATCCTTTTTTGCCCCTTCCATCTCCCTCATCATTACAATCTACTTCTCAAGAGAGCCCAAAGTGTGATAAACTGAGTGTGGCCATTTGTGCCTCTTTGAATTAATTTGTCCTGGGACCCACTTGCCTGTTTTGACTATTTGTGATATTTTTTGGGTTTTCCAACACCAAAACACCAAACCATTGATGCTTCTTCAAATTCCAACTTTTGCTTCACAGGGGAAGCAATTCCCTGCATGAGTCTCATCTTTGTAGAGAAAGATACCTCCCAAAATTCACTGATGTTGTCTCTAATGTGTTACTGTTTGGTTACTTCTATGTTTGCTTTGTTTTTATTTCTTTTTGTTAGTCTGTGACTGAAATAAAGATGATACTTATCTGAATATCTTTTCCAAGGCCTTCTTGGCTACCCTATCTAAGTGCTAATCTGCAGCATAATCATAAAAAGCAGAAGTTAAAGATCATGTCAGCATCTTCATTGTCAATTCTAGGGCTGTTTTTTGTAATTTTGTCATTAATTTGGCCTTTAATTTTCAAGTGTGCACCTTGATTTTTATCAAAAGGTTCATTTGCATTTTTTTCAGCTATCAGAGCAGTATCACCACCATACTACATGTTTCCTCTTCTAAATTTAAAATTGGGTTTCTCTAGTTTTGATTATATGCCATCGCTTCATTGTCAACTCCTTAAAACAATAGATTTTTTTCATATCTTCCACCATGCATTCATCACTTTGCCACTGATTGTCCTCTTCTCTTTCTTCCACTTTTTCAACATTATAGCCTTCTCCAGAGTACTAGATCTCAATATTATTCAACTTTTTTTTTATAACCATGTAGTTCCTTAATTCAGAATAGAGTAGGGGCGACTGGATGGAGCTGAGCATTTTCTGGCTGGCTGCCCTTCCTGACACCTTTATACAGCATATAATGTTGAATAAATAAATACAGCCTTGTTTTAATCCTTTGCCACCTGGAGCGTGGTTTTGTCCTGTCTGAGGTTTTGAAATTAAATATTTTGAGATTCTTATTTTCCTAAGGACTTTCCACAACTTCATATGGTCAACACAATCAAAGGCCTTTCTGTAATCAACATTAATAGCAATACCAATAGCATTTAGGCTGATATACTGGCCCACAGTATTTTACAGCACTCTCTGAGTGGTTTACTGTATAAGCATTATTTGCATATTTTCCCCAACAATCTGTCCTTTTTCAATCTCTTGTCACTGCTGCTTTATATGGATATGGCTTAGAGTGATGCATGTACTACTTGTTGGGTTTTGTAAACTATGATTTCTGTTTATCACAGTGTGTGAAACATGTCAGTGAAGGTTATTTAATAAACCATAATTAAGCCAAGGTTTAGTGCATTGCAAACATGTCTCTAATGTGTGAAAACCTCCCACATTTTCACTCATGGTGATTTAATGACAATGTAAATCAACTCTAGAGGAAGGCTAAAGCTACTGTTATTGAGACGAGCTATAAAAACAGAGCCTTGTGATCCCGATTGTGTTGTATCTCCTCTCCTTCTTGTTCAATGAATTTTAATAATATTCAGGAGCCTGAACTGCTTCTGAATACCATCAAGTCTTAAAATATGTTTCAGGCTCTTTTGCCTAGGACACGGTTCTTGCATATATCCCTCAAAGTCAGCTTTCTTACTCTCTGCAATAGCTGCTTAAAATAATTGATTTTGAGGAAGTCGAAAGAAAGTAAGTAGATTCTTTAGGGACTGGGATATCTTATCAGACTTCTAATCTCAAAGGGTAAGTTGGCCAGTACTGCATACCGTTGCATACTTAGCTGAGGGGAGGCTGAGGTGCCATTTCCTTTTTTCATCTCAGGCAAAGTATCTTGGGTGATCTACTGTATTTCCCCGAAAATAAGACTTGGTCTTATTTTTTTTTTTATTTTTTTTTCCTCCAAAAGAGGCATCAGGTCTAATTTCAGGGGGTATCTTTTCCACAGTCTCACGTCACCTCAGCGGCACCAACGGCCCCACCCAGCTGGCCCACTTCTTCTATGGCCAAAGGAAATGCCTCTGCAGCTGAGAATGGAGCTGTGGATTGATGCTCGTGGCGCCGCCCCCCTCTCCAGCCTGCATTTCGCCATCAGAAGCCTTCTGGAAAGGCCTCTGCAGCCAAGAACTGAGCTACGGATTGAATTTGTAACTTGGTTCTCGGCTGCAGAAGTCTTTCCTGAAGGCCTCTGACAGCAAAATGCAGGCCAGGAGGAGCCACAGAAGAAGTGGGCTAGTAAGGCGAGGCAGGTGTTGATTCCTGGGAGGCCTGGCTGCAATGGTAAACGGGTGTGGGGTGCATGGGGCAGCTCCACTCTCCCACCCCCACCTAGCTTGATTTTTAAGTGTGCGCCTTGCCCCAAAACTAGGGCTTATTTTGGGGGTAGGGCTTATATTAGGCCCACCCCCAAAAATCAAGCTAGAGCTTATTCTGCGGGTAGGTCTTACTTTCGGGAAAACATGATACGTTCTTCTAAAAACATGACTATATTTTGGCCAGCATTACTACTCACACGTTCTGGTAAACATATACAACAGCCAATACAGATGTTCACTGTATTAACATTCTCAAGACTGAGCATTGTGGGTTTTTTTTCTTTCTTAAAAATATTATAGCATGATTGTTTTGTTTTGTTTTTTTAAAAAAAGGATCAGGGGCTCACTGAGTAGGGAAATCAGGACCAAGTGATTAATCCATGTCACAGTTAAATCTAGGAAGCAATTAAATTTTATTATAAGTTAATATAAGCTAAATTTTATTTTAAGATCTTATGATTAGGCATAAAAATAACTATTGATTCACTTTTAGTTCCCACCAAGATGATTGTTAATGAATTTGATTATTTTGGCCAATGGAAGTGGAACTTTGTCTCCAAATCAAATATTCCTCCCCTGGATGCCTGTGAGAGACCAAAGAGGAAGAGAGAACTTTATCTCCATCATGACACCTTGGAAACTTTTGGATAAGGCTGGCTTCTTCAAGAGATACATTCTTAACTGTGATGCTATATATATTAATTGAAATTGCTTACTGGGAGAAGGAATTCTGGTTTTCCTGTATCATTTTCTGTCACATAATTTCTATACACTTATTGGGAAGTTAAACCCCAGCCTCGAGGATATGCATCCCTTCAGAATAGGCAAGCACAGACAGAACCCTAATCTGGGATTATCATCCAAACATTTAGACAAAGAACAGATTTTTTTTTCAATCACCATCAGGATTCAAGAAATGTAAGGAAGCCTTCCCTTCCCTGATAAAAGGAATCTTTTAAATCTTCAGTCAAGACCACATTCCCAAGAAAACAGATTAACTCAGCTGGGAGAAATCAGAGCTCTTTCACGACAGCCATTTTGTAACGAAAGGGAATTGTTCTCAGGATACTATATAAGCCAAAGCTGCTTTTCTAAGGTTTACATGAGGACCCTGTTGCAGGCGCCATCTTCCACTCCCCCACCCACCCTGAACAAGGAGGGAAGGCTGCCCAGAATGTGAAAAGCTCCCTGAGCATATGATCTTGCCTAAATCATCCACTGATGCTTGGGAAACTCGCTAGTCAGTCCCCCTGGCCCAGAGGCCCAACTGCTCATGCACACAGTCCTCTTAGGGAACATTAAAAAGCTCTTTACCAAACTGGTGCCCCCCAAGTATGTTGAGATGAGCAGGATGCGGAGAGTTAGTGATCCATCCCATCTGACACCCCAAATTGAGGGAAGCATCTTTTGCTTCTCTTCCGCCAGCCTGCGGGAAGATTCGGGGATGCAGCTAGCTCAGGACCGCTCCCTCGCCTTCTCCTCTTACCTGTAGTAACGATCATCCTTGTAAGGGGTGAGATCCTCTTTGATCTCCTTATAAGTCTCTTTGATCCTTTGGTAAATGTGCTTGAACTCGCCGCAGAGCGGGTTTTCAAAAGCGGGATAATCGGCCTCCATTCCGCACCCTGTTATTAGAAAGCTCTCCCGCTCCAGCCCCTTGACGTCCGTCCCTTCCTTCGCTCAGCCATGAAGCCCTTTTAGCCCTGTGACCTCCAAAGCTCTCCGGGCTGCAGATAGGGCCATCGAAGGCCGCGGAGACGATCCGGGAAACTAGCGCTGGAATAAATCCGCCTCCCTCTGTGCTTCTCCGTCTGCCTCGGTCGCTCTTTCTCACCGAGTAGAGCGCCACCACTGGCGCGGAAAGGAGTTTCGTGGAAAGCTGACGCTCGATCTGCACTCCCTTTGGGAGCTCGAATTTGGCGCTGGGGGAGAGGGGCTTTTGGAAGGCTGACAAAGGCCGCGAAAACTGAACCCAGAAAATTATGCTAACCTTTCCTCCCTTCCTTTCCAGCCTTAGAATTCCCGAACTTGGCAGAATTGGGAAGGGAGGAGGGATCAGCACCAAGGATAGCGCCAAGGAATCCTTTTCTCAACGCGGACGCAACTGGGCTTCAGAGTCAAGAGGAGGACGCCCTTGTTTGCCCCTCCCCCTCTCCATCCCTTGAAACACAGCCACACGAGAATTAACCTCCCATCGCAGCCTTTTCAGTCAATTGCTGCTGGTTTCGTGTTTATTCTTCAGTCTTTGTTTGTTTTACCCAAAGAAGTGCAGTTTCTGCCATTACAGGGATAGTGCCTTCCTGCCGTTTTTCAGAATTTAGCTGTAAAGACTGCTTCGGTTGCTGACTAGGATTGGCAGGTTAATTAGCTATGTAACATTAAGCTGGGCTCAACGCTTGGTGATTATCTGAGCTAAAGTTCTCCCTCTCCACCTCTCTCCAATAATAATTCCAAGGGGAGTGCTGTAATCTTGTTAGTAATTATCCACCTCTTCCTCATTATCTTCCATTCTATTTCCTTTAACTGGCCAGAGATAATTGTGTTTTTTTTTAAAAAAGATGTTCTCATATCTCATGTTCAAAAGATGCAAACTTTTGTCAACTGATCATTGCTTCAAGGAACTGTGTGTATATGCACATTTAAGTCAGTCTGCAGTTTTCTTAGCAAGATTTCTGAACTGGTTTGCCTTCAGTTTAAATTATCTAGTTTTTCCATTGTCCACCTTGAATTAGCTCATCTTTATACCTCTGTGGCTCTATTCTTCTTTATAAGATCTTAAGCTAAACTTTTATTGCATAAGGAATTAGTGTCATGGCTCAATTATTTTCACATTCATTTACATTACTTACACTAATATTTTACCTTCCATAGAGCAAGGGTGTCAAACTCGCAACATCACGTGATGTGTTGTGCTGTATCATGACTTTTTTTCCATTGCCGGCAATAGGTTGGGCATGGTTTTGGCATGACGCATCTGGCCCACGGGCCAACAGTTTGACACCCCTGCCATAGAGAATATGTGCATTTTACAAGAAGCTATTTGCTCTTCAGCTACTATCCCTTGCATTTCTAAACAGTTCAAAGGGTGTTTTATCTATAAATGCCATATTTGACAAAGGACCAGCTGTCTGTTGAACCTTAGTATCTATTGGGGACAGTTCCTGAATAGGATTCTGTTGCTCTAGAAACCCATTTGTAAAGGAATCCCATACAGTATAATTTAAATAATTTATTTTCTTAAAATCTTGGTTCTCATTTTTGATGTCATATTTATTGACATTTTAAAATATCTTTTCTTGCTATTTGTTGTTTGGCATGGGAAGGGAATGTTTTATAATTATATATTCTTCTTGTGGGATCTTTCCATAACTTCCCGATTTCCTTTTGCATGTATACTGAATGTGCAATGTAGAGCTTATTTTTTGAGTGGGTGCATTACACACCAAGTCTTGCTGGCGCATCTATTCTTTATTGATCTGAATTTCATTCCTATATTTGGCAGCTGTAATTCAGTCTGTTCCGCAATCTGCATCTTGCAGTGTTATATATGAACAGACTGCACTTCTCCATCTTCCATTTCCTATCACAAGTAGTCCTTGAGTTATGACTGACATAGAGCCCAAAATTTCCATTGCTAAACAAGACAATTGTTAAGTGAGTTTTGTCCCATTTTATGACCTTTCTTGCCAGTTGTTCAGTGAATCACTGCAGTTGTTAAGTGAGTAACATGATTGTTAAGTGAATCTGGCTTCCCCGTTGGCTTTGCTTGTCGGAAGGTTGCAGAAAGTGATCACATGCCCTTGAGACACTGCAACCATATAAATACATGCCAGTTGCCAAACGTCCAAAATCTGATCATATGACCATGGGGATGCTGCAACAATTGTAAGTGTGAAAAAAGGTCCCCCAACAACAAAAGGCCACGTTTTTTTTCGTATGCTGTTGTAATTTCAAATGGTCACCGAACAAATGATTAGTGTAAGGCGAGGACTATTTGTACACAATTGTTACGAATCTGGCCATGTCCACAGGTATAATTCATTTGTTTTAATGTCATTGAAGGCTGTGCAAACAGAGCAGATTTTCATGAATATTGCCAGGCTCCTCAATTTCTAATGCAAAATATCCAATCATTTTATTATATGCGTTCCTAATTGTATTGGTTATACTCGTATTAAATTTTGCACTGTAGCTTGCTTTTAGAAATCTTTTGATTAATTAAAGGTGAAGTTACCATCTGTACTTTACAAATAGTCCTCAACCTACGACCACAACTGAGCCCAAAATTTACGTTGCTAAGTGAGACGTTTGTTAAGTGAGTTTTGTCCATTTTATGACTTTTCTTGCCATATTTGTTAAGTGAATCACTGCAGTTCTTAAATTAGTAATATGGTTGTTAAGTGAATCATATTTCCCCATTGATTTTGCTTGTCAGAAGATTGCAAAAGGGGATCACACGACTACGGGACACTGCAACTGTCATAAGTGTGAGTCAGTTGTCAGGCATCCAAATGTAAATCACATGACTGTGGGGATGCTGCAACCGTAAGTTGTTTTTTTTTCAGTTCTGTTGTAACTTCGAACTGTCACTCAATGAATTGTTGTAAGTCAAGGACTACCTGTATCTTATCTTTTTTATAATATTTCATAGTCTTTACTTTTGTATTGCTTTATTTTATTTCTTCTGTAGGTATTCTTAACTTCCATCTTTTCAATGCAAGCTGCCAAGATTCTTTATTTGATTACATGGGCATAGAAAGGTTGGAATTTTTCCCCTCAAAAACTAAGTTTCGTTATAAGAAAACTGTAACAAACATTATTTTTTCCTTAGAATGATTTCTATAAGTTTTACTTCCGACAAGCCCTGAAAGAAAATGCTTATTATTACTTACCAAGTTCTTCGAAAATGTAGTATTCCTAGATGTTTGAATTATACAATAGTTTGCCCCTTTTGAACAGTGCCCATTACAAGTATGCATCTTTTGAAGAAATTACAATATTATTTGAACATGTTGAAACTTGGAAACAAGGAATCTCTTTGTCCAATTTTCACTTGGACATTTTCACTTCTCATTTTTATTATTTGGGTTTTTGTGATATTCGTAGATTTAATTCAGGATTGGATTCTTTTGTGTCTGCTTTTTGGTGAGAAAATCAAACAAGATTTGCATTTATGTTAAGGCTTTTTATATCACAATAGCAACATATAGCAAGATGATCCACTTCACCTGCCGTTAAGTTTTTTTAAGAGTAGGTGTCAAGTTTTGGTTCCTTGACATTAAACCTGATTCTAAAAAAAGAAATCTAGAACTAATATTGGCCTGGGAGCTAAGAATATGCAGGGTTACAACTCTCTGTAAGAGAAGGAAACTGGCCGTTATCCAAAATTTGATTATGACAAATTATCATTATAAAATTTCTAGGTTGAAATTTTGCAGGAGTGTCATCAGGTTTGACCAGTGGAGAGGTTAGAATGGACCATGAAAGTCCATTTAAGTCATTAGGAGTAATTAGCTAGCATAAACATTCAAACTTTTCAGTCCACATTACAGCATCAGAAGATGAAGGTAAGCTGCTCAATAAGAGGCAAAAGCACATCAGAGAGATTCTTTTAGCTTGCAAAAAATTTAATAAGCAACACCTGGACAATTCTTACACTTTCAAATCATCATGGATATTAGGGCCACCAACCCAATCTCAATGTAGACAGTCAAAAGTTGGAACAAATCACATTATTGAAGGGAAAACCACTTAACGCTTTCTAGGCACCTTCTCCACAATCTATTACACAGAGCACATAACAGGAGAGGCAAATCAGGGCATGGTTCATAATTACAATGAAAATCAGATCTGAATGGAAGATTTTTTTAAAATGAACCAATTAATTCAAAGGGCCATTTAAAAATATCATAGGTGCAGCAATCATTAGAGGAAAGGAATCAATTTCTCTGCAGAACTGAGAGTGTCATGCAAGTTAGCATGTTTAGGAAATCTACATTATCTAATCACATACTTTTGTAAAAACATGGAGAAAACTGAACCCCAAGATGAAGCAAAAAAAAAAAAACCCCACAAAATCCCCATTCCTCAAATAACCACACAAAAAAGAAATAATGCAAATAAATTCAAAAACATTTATCAAAATTAAAGTACCTGAATTATGCATTTTATTAACAAATGCATTTTTCAACAAAGACCACAGTGCCCCAACCAAACTATATCCCCATGCAATTCTGTAATACAAAAGTTGTATCTACAGCAAACAGCAAGTTTTAAAAATTCTTCACCACAAAGAAGAGGGGAAGAACAAACCTGGGGAGAAGGTGGACACAAAGTGGAGAGAGAGAAAGAGGGCATAATTTGAAGATCCTCCTAACTCTTCAGTATACTTCAATCAGGGATCAGTTGCATATAATGTATTTGTTTAGAAAACCCAAACTGTACTTACATATAGATCTGAAACGGATTATATTTCCTCTGTACTCCTGTATTATTTGGAAATATTATGCAATAAAGGCCCACAACTGCAACATGGAAAGTTGTCATTAAAATTATGTTTTAATGGTTCAGTTCTTCCAACTGTAGTTTGACTTGAAAAATTCTTGTTATACCACTGAATTTTCAACAAGCTCTATTGCTACAACAAGCAGGGACCATCAGCTGAATGATTTAACTGGCTGCTTCTTAGTTCGAGTGCCCGCTGGATAGAGGTTTTCTACAAGCAGGAAAGACAATTGTAGTAGTACATTGGTCCTAAATTGCTGGAAGGAACAGAAGAGGTAACAACCATTTCTCTTGTCTTATCATATTATTTCTGTCATAGGAGTCACCTAATACAAAAACTGATTTTGATGTTATTTTTCTTTCTTTCTTGAGAGCTGGGTTTTTTATGTGTGCCACCAAACACTGTGAACAGGACAGACAAAATACTCTGCTGCTTCACTTGTCTGTGATTATCTGCCATGCCATTAAAAATTATTGGCAAACAAAGGTCTGTATTTACATAAATAGTGAAAAAAAAAACCTGACAGAGAAAATGAGCAATGGCTAACCATGCAGGCATGTTACATTATACCTAAATCTCCCTAGGTAATTGGCAAAA